TCAATGTTGGTAGCACATATTTTTATTATCTAGTATTTGTTGGTACCAAACCACAGTCAACTTCTAATATTTTGAAAAATTCATAACATTTCTGTGTGAACTTACGGTGAGCAAGGCATTTTTCATTAAACAACTGCCTTTTCAAGATAAGCTTTAAATATAGATGTCTTTCTTCAGAAATGTAATAGGGTTTTGCTAACTTCATTTGTTCATATAGTTGTTCCGCATTTTTTTCTAATAGTATAATACTTCCTGGGTAGTCCTACCAAACATTACTTTCAAAAAGCATTCTTTTGCTGCTCTAATTTAAGTATACTAAAAATGGGGCCTTGTTTGCCTATTTTACGGCAAACCATAAAAAAATTGCTGTTATTTAACAATTCTGATTTACAAAAACAGCAATATCATATGGTTCAACCTAATACATATGTATGCATTTTATTTCATCAATAAATTATATGTTAAACTTAGGGAAGTGATAAAAACTGGAGCATAAATTTTGATTCACACTGCATGGATGGCATCCATTCGCAGCCTTTACTTTTCCTGACAGCAGTTACTACCTGGAAATACATTATATACTTCATTTATTATTTAACAAATAGTTTTGAGTATATATTATGCAACAGGTGCACTGTTTCAAGCACTGACAATAAAGTAATGAATAAAACACAAAAATTTCCTCTGGTGTCTTCTCACTATTAGTAAGGGAAACAGACAAACGTTTAGTATATTAGACAGCAATATGTACTAAGGAGAAAAAACAAAGCAGGAAAGATGGATATGATATCGGGAGAAGCATGTTTGCAATTTAAATGACATGGCATAATCGGTCCTGAATGAGAAAATGACTTCAGAGTAAAAGCCTGAAGGAATTGAGAGACCTAGCCACATGGTTATCTGGGGGAAGAACTAAGCCTGCTACCTGCACTAGAATGTAAGCACCACGAAGGCAAGAACTTTGTTCTATTTACTGCTGGTACTACTGCATTGTAAGTGACTACAGTACTGATCAGGAACCGATGGTATTGAAGGAAGGGGTCCAAGCTGCACTGAAGGCGCTGGTGAAAAACAAGCCTCCAGGAATTGACAGAACACCAACTGGGATGTTTCAACAAATGGATGCAGCGCTAGAAGTACTCACTCATCTATCTCAAGAAATTTGGAAGATAGCTGCCTGGTGAACCGACTGGAAGAGATCCATATTTATGCCTAATCCAAAGAAAGGTGATCTCATCAAATGTGAAAATTATTGAACAGTACCATTAACATCATATGCAAGTAAAATTTTGCTGAAGATCATTCAAAAGCAGCTGCAGCAGTACATCAACAGGGAACTGCCAGAAATGCAAGCCGGATTCAGAAGAAGACATGGAACTAGGGATATCATTGCTGATATCAGTTGGATTCTGGCTGAAAGCAGAAAATACCAGAAAGATGTTTACCTGTGTTTTATTGACTATGCAAAGGTATTTGACTGTGTGGATCATAACAAATTATGGATAACATTGTGAAGAATGGGAATTCCAGAACATTAATTGTGCTCACGAGGAACTTGTACATAGATCAAGAAGCAGTCATTCGAATAGAACAAGGGGATACTGTGTGGTTTAAAGTCAGGAAAGGTGTATGTCAGGGTTGTAACCTTTCACCTACTTATTCAATCTATATGCTGAGCAAATAATCCAAGAAGCTGGAGCCTATGAAGAATAACGCGGCATCGGGTTTGGAGGAAGACTCATTAACAACCTGCATTACGCAGATGACACAACCTTGCTTACTGAAGAAGAGGACTTGAAGCACTTACTGATGAAGATCAAAGACTAGTCTTCAGTACGAATTACACCTCAACATAAAGAAAACAGAAATCCTCACAACTGGCCAATAAGCAACATCATGATAAACAGAGAAAAGACTGTGAAGTTGTCAAGGATTTCATTTTACTTGGATCCACAATCAACACCCATGGAAGCAGCAGCCAAGAAATCAAACGACGTGTTGCATTGGGCAAATCTGCTGCAAAAGACCTCTTTAAAGTGTTAAAAAAGCAAGGATGTCACCTTGAGGACTAAGGTGCACCTGACTCAAGCCATGGTGTTTTCAATTGCCTCATGTGCACACAAAAGCTGGACGTTGAGTAAGGAAGACCAAAGAAGAATTGATTCCTTTGAGTTATGGCAATGGTGAAGAATACTGAATATACCATGGACTGCCTAAGGAATGAACAAATCTGTCTTGGAAGAGGTACAACCAGAATGCTCCTTAGAAGCAAGGATGGTGAGACTACGTCTCACATACTTTGGACATGTTATCAGTAGGGATCAGTTTCTGAAGAGGGACATCATACTTGGTAAAGTAGAGGGTCAGCAAAAAAAGAGAAAGACCCTCAACGAGATGGACTGACACAGTGGCTCCAACAATGGGCTCAAGCATAACAAGGATTGTGAAGATGGCACAGGACCAGACAGTGTTTCGTTCTGTTGTACACAGGGTCGCTATGAGTCAGAACCAACTGGACAGCACCTAACAACAACAGAGTACTGTAGATACTCAATAAAAATATATATTAATACGATTTTTATTAAGGGTAGGATTACATAGCTGGTTAATATAATTGCTGTCAGTAAGTTGTATACCTGTAAAAAGCAGAATTGGCAAAAAATTGTGTGATACATACATTTACAACAGCAAAAAAGAGTAGCTGCTAAGGCTGCTTACATAACCAAACACCTCATGGGATTTGGTTCCTTGTTTTAGAGGTTCAGGGTTATGGTTTCATGGGAGATTCCAATTAATTGGCCTAATAACATGTTTAGTGCTTCTGTTTTACCTCGTTTACTGCGTAGTGCCTGGGGCCTTAAAAGCTTGCAAGTGGCCATCCGAGGCACAACAACTGGTCTCTATTCGCAGTAAGCAACAGAAAGAAGGAGAGTCAGAAATAAGAGAAGTAATGGAATGTGCAGCTAATTGCCTCCATGGACAACTGCCTCCTTTGCTATGAGACCAGAAGAACAGGATAGTGCCCAGATACCATTACTGAACATTTTAACCAAATATTTTATAGAAGAATCCTTATCAATAGGGGGAAAATAAAGAACAAAATTTCAAATTCTCATGAAATGCAGACTTTCCAGAGCCACTGAGGCTGGATGAACCCCTAAAACTATTAACCTGAGATAATCTTTAAACCTCAAACCAAAAATATTCCCTGAAATCTTCTTAAAATCAAATGGCAGTTTAGCTTAACTAGTCAAGAATGCCTGCCCAGAGCATTGTGCTCTTTTAAGATCTATCAATATACGATCAAATTGATAACAGCATCAAAAGATTAGATAGGGAAACTTGGAGGGCAGTGAGATTATATTAATGGAAGAGGAGCAACTCAGAACAGGAGGGTGAGAATGGCTGCACAACTTGAAGAACGTAATCAGTGTCACTGAATAGTACATGTAGAAACTGGTAAATTGGTGTATGTTCTGCTGTGTATGTTTGCAACAACAACAAAATGCAATAACTTATATTAAACATATATATATAGAGAGAGAGAGACTGACTATTTAATGCGTATATAAGCAAACATGTATAAATGCTCACACACACACTTGGAGCTGTTCTTAACACAAATGGTATAACTATTGCATACCCTGCTTTTTTTACTTAATATCTCTTGGGGATTGTTTCTAGTCCATTGCTACTAAATACAATGTTATAATGAGTTAGACTTATAATTACTTCTCAGTATCTATTTTCTACATTACAGTATAAGTTTCATGAGAGGAAAAACCAAGTCTGTCTTGTTCACTACTAGTCCCAGAGCATAGTACCATGCCTGATACATAGTATCTCTTCAATATTCAATAAAAGGTAAGACTGAATGAATGAAGAACAAGGTCACATGGAATAAACCCAGGTAATATTTTTAGAAAACAGTGTAAAGTTTCATTGGGCAGATGTGGGACATGAAGAGCAACAGTTGGACGTAATTCAGTAGGTTATGAGGAAACAGTTATGGTTTAGGAGGATGATCTGAAAGTTGATATATTATTTGGGATAGTGAAAGAGGCTATTCACTTGGGAGCTAAGGAAAGGGATATGGCATTTTCCTAATCCAAGAGTAATTAAAACTTTTATAGTAGCTAAAATTTGGCTACTATTTTTACTAAGGAGTTCTGTCAATGATAGGTAAGGTAAGGAATCCCCCCTACAAAAAGGGATATGGGCAGAAGAACAGAACTTAATAACCAGCTGTTCAATTTGATTTTGCTTCTACTCCTAAGAGGAAAAAAAAAAAGCTACTGTGAAGTATCAACATAATCCATCCTTAACGATACAGTCTAATCAGTAATCAACAATCTGGTTTCTAAGATTGTCATGTGATATATGTCGTATTATTATTCAGATGTTACCAATATTAATCCCCAAATTTCAAGAGGTGATAATTTAAAAAAAATTAAATCAAGCCACAGAGTGTACTCTAAATCAATAAATCACCTTAAAATTAAAACCTCCAACATAGTGGCTACTTGAAGTTAGAAAAAGTTACAAGAGGAAAAATATACTGGACGAGCTGTCCAGTATATACTGATGTTTAGTTAGGAGATTTGATATTTAATTCATATTAATTGGTCTTAAATATATGCATATAGTTTTATTTTTATAGTATACTATACTACTTTTACAGTATAGTAGCCATTTTTATAGTATTTTTTTCATTTTTTACAGTATGATTTCATGTAGTGTAAGTGAAATCGACTATTTCCACTCAACAAGTAAGTCTATTTCTGGTTTTGTTTTAGCAACTGCCCAAATCACGAAGTATACATTTATTCCCTGTGAGGAGTTGAGAATGGTTAAAGCCACACTTCCTCATGGACTAGTAAAGTGCAATAAGCTTTATTAACAATCTCTCTTCCTTCAGGAAATAGTATTTCCATTTCAAATTTGATAAATTCATTATTTAAGTTGTACCACTAAAACAATTTTAAAGATTTACTACTTACCACTCATTGTCTTGGGCTTTTTAGCTACATAGTCTTTCCATTTCCTTGAACTGAGTTGGTTGGGAGGTGGAATAAGTATGTTACTAACAGTACAAGGCAATACAAAAAGAGCACCAACCTGGATAAAACAGAACATGTTTTAAGCGACTGCACACTGAGATTCACTCTTGAATGGGGCCATATGATGCTTCCCACTCATATCTCACCTATATAACATGTATTTGATAGTAGTCCCTTCGAACCACTCTACTGTAAAGACTAAAAAACAAAAACAATATCCACCAAAAAAAAAAAAAAAAACAAAGACAAAACAGAGAAAGGCATTCTCAGCTGCATGCTTCTCGTTTCCATTGAGGTATAAATCTCTGAAAACCTTGTTATTCACAATATTTGCTTCAAGTTCAGGTTATGGGTATAATTTCTTTGTTTATCTACCAACTAGAGATGGGAATTCCTTCATCAAAAGATTTTGTCATAATCAGCAATCATTTTAAAACCTTTTAACTAGGTGAATTACTGTTCTGACTTCAACATAAGGATACATCTGAAGGCAACTTAGAAACTTTCGTTCCTAGAAATCAGAGCTTCAATGCCAACAGGTATAAAATGCAGAGAGGACAATGAATTGTGTGTTAGAAAACATACAGCAGCCTATGACTGATGTATGAGCAAACTCAACGTTCATCTTTGTATTCCGAGGGCTGGGCATACAGATGCTTATTAAATATTTGTTCCCCCCACAAAAAAATCACATTATATTGAGGTAAATTCTCAGTTTGATTAAGCATTGAATAAAACCAAATTGCAATTCTGAAAGCTGTATTTTGCCCGTTATTTTAGAAAAGGAAGTGACAGCAATCAGCATATCCCAATAAATAAACAGCACTACTTCTTTTAAAACGTTGGGGAAGTTTAGGCAGGGCATTTGCCAAAGATTTTAAATCTAATGCAAAGTCACTTTTAATTGTATTATCTAATGGATTGATTAACATGAGATATTTGATATTCAGTTAATTTATATTTTAATGGTGCTAGTTCATTGATATTTGTGATTTTTATTTATTCTTAACGAACAGATATAAAAATGTATTATTTTAGAAACAAAATAAGGAAGGTAAAATTAAATATATTTTTTTCCTTATTATTGTAGCCATATTGGAGTAAGTCAAATGTAGTTGACAGAATGAAGCATTAGATGTTAAAAATGAAATATATACCAACAGAAAATCATTAAGTATAAAAGATATATATCTAATTTTCTAAAGGCTAAATTCCCATTCTTCCTTCTTGCATAAATAAGACTTTATAACTCAATATTCATGACAAGAGTACAGTCCAAAAGGTAACAAGGTTGTAATGTGAGTTTGCCAGATTAGGGCCTGTTCTAACTTTCTTACCATTTTTGGGATGCTACATGCAGTTCAATGCATAGCTTATAGCTTTATATAAATGCACTGTGACCCGCCAGCTGAAGAAGTAGCCGCAATTTTGGGATAGTCTATTTTCAATTTAACATTTGCTACAAATATGAAAATAAACATGCTAGAAGTCCCACAAACTTTAATTCCCTACAAAGTAAATTTGTAAGTCAACTGCTTACTGCATTCATAACAAACTCGGATTCCAATAATTTGTTCTCAGTTATACACTAATCATTACGTGGCCTCTGAGAGTCTGGAGGATGATCCTTTGAGGCTATCACTCTATTTCCAGAATTTAAAGGCCAAATAACATTTCAAAGCTGAGTTTTGATTCAAGGTACTCCTTAAATAGCAGTAACTACAGCAATTGTGTTTCTAGCTTTGTAAATCCTCCTATTGAAAAAATATTTCCTGGCCAGAAGATTAGTAGACTTCATGATTCCCTAATAATCTTACCTTGTCTTTTCCTGATCTAATAAAATGAACTTTACTCCAAGAGGCTTTTATGTATATTCTGGACTTAATCTCACTGATTTATTCCTTACTGATTAAGTCTATTCTAATATTTTATAGTCATGGTCCAAGAAACAATAGAAATGGCAATCTCATATAATAAAGTTAAAACAAAACAACTGAAAATATGAGATATTAATACAATTCACTAGCTTAGTTTGCTTCTTGGATTAGTGTTGCCGATCTTCAATAACTGGAAGGATTAAGGATTTATTTTCCCACTTCATTAAACAAATCAGAAGTATGTTGCTAATTATGACTTAAAAAAATTCCCTATAAATCTAATTTACAAAAATCTAATCCTATCTCAAAATACCTAGAGAACACAAAATATTTTACAGATTTCAGGAAAGTATTTCATATATGTATATCATTTGAGCGACATAAACTTCAAAGACAATAATAAAAATTAGTTAACAACTGAGCTCTTTCTGTTAAAGGTAATGGAAAAATTTGGCACTGGATAATGGTAATTAGTTGCACAAAAAGATGGATACAATGTCACTAAATTGCACATGTAAAGAATGTTGAAACTGCATATATTCTGATACATACATAATTATCGCAATAAAAAAATCAGTTAACAAAACTATCACTTATAATCACACTTTACAGTTTATAAAATATATTCCAATTTGGTTTCATTACGAGAGTTTGAAATAGGTAAAGGAGGGATTTTTATGTCCAGTTTACAATTTTAAAAGGCTGAAAGCCAGTGAGTGACAGAGCTATGGCTTAAACCCAAGTTTTCTAAAGTACATGTTCTTCTACTTGGGACTTTGTACTATGCCGTATTCCTTCCTTCTCTTCCTTATTTGACAATTACCAAGACATGAATTATTGTCATTTCCCGGAATGAAGAGGCTCCCGGAAGACTGTTGTTGTGTGCCATTGTGTCAATTCTGACTCACAGCGAGCCTACAGGACAGAGTAGAACTGCCCCATGGGGTTTCCAAGGCAATGTTAAAGGAAGCAAATTGAAAAATATTTCTCCCATATAGGGGCTGGTGGGTTCCAACTGCTGACTTTTTGGTTAACAGGTTAGCAGCCAAGTGCTTAACCACACACCACCAGGGCTCAGAAAGCTACCTGGGTTAAAATAAGTACAAAATTTTTTTTAGTTTTAGCTTTTTTACTATACCATTTGGTAAGATTTCTATGCACATATTTTTATAGAGATACACGAGCTTAAACCAAAACCAAACCCATTGCCATCAAGTCGATTCCAATTCATAGCAACTCTGTAGGACAGAGCAGAACTGCCCCGTAGGGTTACCAAGGCTGTAATCTTTACAGAGGCAGACTGCCACATCTTTCTCCTGCAGAGCAGCTGGTGGGTTTGAACTGCTGATTAATCTACATTTAAAATAGGTTCTCTCCCCTCTTTTATTCTCTCAGTCTGCTTATTTTTTTTTTATCAAACCCTTTGCCATAGAGTGGATTCCGACTCATAATGACCCTACAGGACAGAGCAGAACTGCCTATAGGGTTTCCAAGGAGTGGCTGGTTGCTTCGAACTGCCGACCTTCCGGCTAGCAGCCAAGCTGTTAACCACTGTGCCACCAGGGCTCCGATTTTCTTTATAGTTCTTATTACACCTGCAGTTATTTACTTTCTATTTTCTCCACCAAAATGTCAGTTCCATGAGAGCAGAGGTTTCATCAGTGTAATTCATCATTGGATCCCTACATTTACTATAGTACCTAGCACACAGTAGTATATATGTTGGATAAAAAATGAAAGATAAATTTTAAAATTCAAAATTTGGCACATCAGATATTCTTAGAGGATGAAAACACAGGTTAATGCTATACTTTAGGCTGTTTCCTCAAAGACCATTTCCGCAATTAAACACGTTGGTGCACTATGCAAAAGACCATTAATTTTATAGAAAAAAAGAGGTTAAAAGCCAAAATTTTAAGCTACCATAGAGAGTCAAGCATCTTATTAGGGCCAAAATCATATTTCCTTTACTATAACAATTTTCTAAGGGAATTATAACCAAGATTTGATCATAGAAAGGAGCCCTGGTAGCACAGTGATTAACCACTTGGCTGCTAACCAGAAGGTCAGTGGTTTGAACCCACTAGCTTCTCCGTGGGAGAAAGACGTGGCAGTCTGCTCCTATTAAGATTTACAGCCTTGGAAACCTGGTGGAGCAGTTCTACTCTGTCCTATAGGGTCACTATGAGTCGAATCAACTTGACAGCAATGGGTTTTTGATCATAAAGGTATGGGAAAATTGTTACAATTGTAATAATAATTTTCTCCCCGCAAGATTGTTTGATAATAGCCTATTTGTTGTTAAAACAATAAGAAAATGTTATATAAACATTGCCAATAAATATTTTGTGTATTAAAAATTGTTCCCCAAAACATAGTAGTTTAATAACCAAAAAGAAAAGCAAGCTTTCATTTTTTTCCATTGACAACTGTACCTGTCATATTTTTCCATTAACAACTGTACCTGACTTTAGATGAGTCCGTGAAATAGATAACACAATCATATGAATGTCTTCTCACAGAACTGAAATTGAGTATGTTAACAATAATCCAATGAAGTCTAAAATTTTAAAACGTGAAAGCAGTTACCAGTCATAAGGGTTATTTTTGAAAGTCTCTTCTCAAAACAAAATGTCACTTCACATCTGCAGAGTACTCTGAAATTATTATGGCAAGTTCAAAATATCTTAATATGAATTAAGACCAAAATTATATATTATATTAAAGGAACCAAATTACCATATAAAATCAGATTAACAAGCTACATTTCCTTTTCCCACACATCCTTACCAAAAAAAAACAAAGCTTCTATACCTTGTCACACAGAGAAGAAATCTGTTCCAACAGCAACATGGAATTCTGTCTGGTATTGTTTTTTGTCAGTCCTCTGTATTATGGAGTTAAAGACATAATGGAATGGTAACTATGAAACAATTCTACTCCATAAAATAAGTTTTTATTCCTTTTCATTGTTGTTTAATCCACAAGTTAATTCATTTTTTAAAAATGTTAACTGTAGAAATTCACAATTACTCCCTTCCCTAAGGATAATTGTTTTTCTGATTATTGGTTTGATTCTAAATACATAGTAAGAAAAGGTGGTACTGCGAATAGTGTTACTATAAACTATCAGAACAAGACTTGCAAAAACTGTAGTTTCTAAATGAAAATTCAAGAACTGCCTAGTGCTCGATTTCCAACGTTTTTTATACAAAATGTTCTGTTCTTGGGTGTATTTCTAAAAGAAAAGACGGAGTTCAAAAAAATTCTTAGATACATTTTCCTAAAAAAGAGTTTGAAATATATTGAATATTCACAGACATATGTTATAGCATTGATAATTACTTAAGCATATAAAAAAAAAAGTCAGCAAGTCGGAGCTTATATATCCATCATGCCAATGGCAGGAGAAACACCTGGACACTTTAGGAGCAGATAAATTACTGTTTTTCTCCAAATTCCTAACATTTCTCCATCCTCTCCACCCCATTCGTAATGAGTAGCACTACAAGGAAGTCCTCTGTCTATTCTAGACAAGTGGTAGAACTGCTCTTAAAGTCAATGAAAAGAACACTGAGTATTATAAAAAAATAGCATGATCAAACATCTAGAGATGGAGTGACAGCAGGAAAATAGTGTAAAGCATGTTTTTCAAACAGTTTTGGTACTAACATTTTTTTGCAAGTGAGATCTTGCCTGGAAGCCCGATACATAAAATAGGGAGAAGAGGTGCTGCTCTGGTTGAAGTACAGGAGGGGGCCTGGAGTCACTCAACGAATCTTAGAATCCCACTACCCCAGAGAGCTTTCTCTGAGCCTTAGGTTTTCCTTGGAAGATGGTTTGAAAATTACTTGTCTAAAGCAAGGATTTAATGACATAAATATGCCAAATGTTATCTAGCTTCTGATCTATATGTGGCTAATAGATGAAGTGAGAGAAAAGAAGGATTAGAAATTACTTATGTCTGAAAGTAACCCCTTAGAGTTTACTGCCAAGTGGTATGCTAGTTACATGGTTCCAAACAGACATTTAGTAAGTGTCTAATATTTGTGGCATTATAAGGGATAAAACTAAAAATTATCCACTGCACATTACTACTTAACTTCAACCTATCCAAACCTGAACTCTTCTTCCCCCATGGAGCCTGCTCTTCTTCTACACTAGCTCAGTGGCACTGAAACATCTATACAGGGAATCATCCTACATTCCTCTGGATGGCTCCCTTTTCCCCATATAACAGATCATGATGTCCTCTTGATTTATATCCTTATCACATCTTGCACCTTTCCCTGACTTGCGTTTCAAATGCTACTTCTTTAACTCAAGCTCTACAAAGTTTTCCAAAATGCTACTAGAATGATCTAAGATTTACTTTTGACCAAGTTACTGCCTGGCTTACAATCCTTCTATGGTTCCTCATCATCTTTAGGATAGAGTTTAACTCCCAAGCATGGTATATAAGGTCTTTTAGGATCCAGCTGATCTGATTCTTAACAGGCTTTCCAATTTCATCCCTTAGAAAGCTACCCCCAAATATAAAACAAAAACCTCACAGCTCTTTAGTGATGCTAGACTACAAACAGTCCCCATCCAGGTGAGGGTCTCCTACGACTCTGTAAATGCTACTTCTTCTGCAGAAAGAAATTTGCAAGAATAAAACAATAAGCACTTTGGTTGGGGCTGACATAATATAAAGTCATTTGTTCCGTAATACTTACTGAGTGCCTACTATGTGTTGTGATGAATTTCAGTTATAGACTTCTTTACAAGAAACACATTGAGAAAAATATAGAAGGCATGGAGATGCACGCCTAGATTTCAGAAAACGAGAAGTTATTATTTTTCTAATTAAGCACTAAATAAAGCAATAGCAAAGGTAACAGAAAACATATCAAATATTAAATATGTATGTGGGGATCTCTGAGCAGAGGGTAAGAGGGACAGAGTTTTAGTTAATGCTAGGGTACGTAAGAGAGTAGATCTGACCTGTGCTTAGGCAGCGAAAATTACAACTGCGATAGAGAACCAAGTCCCAATCACTTCTGTATTACTTTTACATTCCTACTCATAGCAGATAATAAATATTGAATGAAAATAAAGATACTTGTCTAGGGAAAAAAGCCTCTGGCAGCCTTCCAGCACAACAACATTAAAGCAATGAATGCAAGTATATTTACCAGACAATACTAGAATATTCCACCTGACACGGAAAATGTAATCTTAAAGGAACACGTAAATGAAAGGATACAACTCAAATTCCAAGTCCGACATATAACAGGAGGGTAGATCTGATAATTTTATCATCTGCACAAATTCTAAAGCAGGGCCATAATAATGGTAAACCTAGAAAAGAAATCAAAATTATATAATACTTTAATACTATAAACAAAATGAAATGAATAAATCAGTGATTACGATTTTAGAACCTTACAGTAAATCTTAAAAAAATGTTTTTGCGCTTTATAGAAACCAAACATTTGGTTTTCTTTAACAGACAAGAATTTCTTCTATTTCAATTCTACCTTTCAGAGTAGAGAGCCAGACATGGAGAGTTCTTAGTACCTGGAAAGAGTTTTAGTAAGGGAGAAAACGAGTAAAGAAAAAAAGCAAGTGGCAGAAGACAAGATTCTCGACTCTTCCTGATCCTCTTCAGCAAGACAGACAACTCAAGAGGCTGGGGTGTTGAAGAAACAAATTAGCGAGGCTGCAGGACTGAGAAAGAGAAAGAAAAGACATTCTGGGATGAACTCAGGTTGAGTGTCATGCCGAGAATTAAAAAAAAAAAAAAAAGATCCTCAGAGGAAAGACTGAAGAAATTAAAGAGAGAAACAAACATGCTAATTAATCTAGGAAGCTCCACTCAGAGAAATTAAAATGTAGTACTTCTTTGGATAGAGCCTAAAATGAAATCAAGAGTGAGGGAGTAAGAAAGAGCAATTACTTGAAGTGTTAGGGCGATAGTGCCTCACTGGTAGAAGAAGGAAAATAGAATTCTCTTTGAGGAAACCACACAATGTTTTAAACTTCCAGAAAGTTAATTTGACCACATATGGTTCTGTATGTGTGTGTGCATGCAATGTGTGTGTTTATGTTCACACCAGAAACATACCTTTTATCACTACATGTCAGAATCGACTCCACAGCAATGGGTTTTTTTTGGTTTGGTGTCACTCATCAATCAGAAAATATTACCCACCAATCTGACACTCTTATAACCTCGTGCTTGTGTTTTACACATTCTTAAACTGCATCTTTTAAAGTGGACTTCTGAAGTGCTTCCATATAAATACCTTCTTATTGTTATTTTTGCAACGTTAAAAAAAAAGAAAGGTCAGTGGAACTCTTTTCTGATTATTATAATTATTTACATTTTAAGAATAAATCTAAAGGTGATATGGGATGATAACTAACATTTATTAAACAGTTAACTGGGCATATGCCCACCATTGTGTCAGATACTAATCTCTCACCTCGTTTAATTTTAATAATAACTTTGTAAGATAAGTGTATTATTATTATTGACCCCATTTCACAAACAAGTTAATCAACCTACCCAAGGTCACAAGACCCCATAGGTGACAAAGTCAAACTTCAAACCCAGGTCTACTTAACATAAAAGGCTATTCTCTTTCCATTGTGTCACACTCCCTCCAAACTGAGTCTTAGAAAAGTCACATAGTAAAGTTCACACCAAAGGCAGTTTCAGGCTTACACTGATCTAAAATTAGGACAATTCCATTAAAAAAAAAAAAACAAACAGCATGGCTAATCTAAAACAATGATAATATTTCAACTCTGATAATCCAGTATAACTTAAGTATATAATTCTAAAACAAAAATTATGCGAGTGAGAACACTAAAACACGTATATTAGTAATGTTAATTCAAGATTCAAGCATATTTTACAGGGACAAAATATGTACAAATACATGATTGCAAAAGTGATTAAACATACAATTACCTTTGGTAAAATACTCTTATCCTTTGATGATATTATTTTTTTGGCAAGAAAGCAAGTATTTAAATTAGATGTACTAAAATTCTTCGGTGTGACTCCCTTTAATGAAAATTCAGGAAAACTAATTTCAGATCCAAACTGAAAGGAAACCAAAAGAACACAGTTATAAGCATCATGAATAAGGTTACAAAAATGACTACATCTTACTATAATGTAAAGATTGACAGGAAAATCATGTAAATTCATTTTTGATTCCTCAGACCAAAGTATCGTTCTTCCATTTATGTACACATCCTTCCTGTATCAACTTAAGACTTCGATTTTTCATGAAAAGCCCTTCAGCAACCCACAAATATATGTTAAGCCCATTCTATGCAACCACAGCACTAAGCAACCTCCTTTATAGCACATACTTGTTCAGTATCTGGCTTCTCATCAGTCTGTAAATTCTGCAAAGACAGACCCTATATGTCTTATTCGTTGCTAGATCCTTAGTATAGTACCTCACACATAATTTGCCTTCAATATATGTTGTTGATGAAAAAGATTAATTCCAGTTGAAGTAGTAATAGTAGGGGTAGTAATAATAATAATAGTAGCAACAACACGATGGTTAGCACTTACTGAGTGGCTACTTTGTGCTTTAAATAATTTAATCTTCATAAAAATCTATGAGATTAAAAATTATTATTATTCCTATTTTATGGATGGGGAAAATTGTGGCATCAAAAGCTTAACTATAGCCCAAGGTGCCACAAAAACAGTAAGAAATGAGCTGGGATTTGAACGCAGGCAATGTGGCTCTAAAATCTGTCCTTAATCACTATAATGCCTCTTGGCTAAAAGCTATTCTCCACCAAAAAAAAAAAAAAAAAGAGGGGATTTCAAGTTTTGAATGCGTTCTGTGGTGGTACAGACATTTAATGTCATAGTCATAAAAGAATCCATGAAAAGAACTCTGCCATTATCTGTAAACATGCAGTTTCAAAAACTGCATACAAAAGCAAGATTCATAACTGATCATATCTTCCACTACTTCACTTGGTTATTTGGTTTTGTGTATGTTAAAACCACTTGCAGAGAAGGTTCACCTGCAGCTTTAATCTGTCCTGCAGGGTACACTCCTAAGACTGAGATGAGCCAACGTGCAAACAAGAGGGACCCAGCCACATTCATTCCAGTTGTCTTATGAGTTTTGTAAATAAAAGTTGAAAGGCCTGCTCTGCAAACTGTGACAATTAAGAAATCTGTTTACCTTTCTTTCCCATATCTGAATCTTTCCCCTCCATAACTCCTTTGAGTCAATAGCATTTCTGAGATCTTCTAAAGACACAATATTAGCGGAAAGGTATTCTGCAATTTTCTGGCAATTTCTACAAAATAAAAGATTATGATAATTAAATACAGGGTTTTATATTTTACTTAGATTTAATGGTTACAGTTAACCACAAATCTAAGAGACAAAATTGCAAAGCTTACATCATTGTTTTTTTTCTAATATTATAATAATACAATCATTGTAGTAATAGAACACTCATTAAATGTCAGTCTCTGAGCGAGCTGCTGTCACATGTTCATTTCGCCCTAACATCCCCATGAATTAAAAGTAATTATTCTGAGGACTACAGATGAGGACATAGACTTGCCTCTAACTCTTGGCTTAAAGCTGTCAAATGTAAACACACACACACACAGGCACACACACACCCCTACACTCAATGTCAGCTCCTTATCTTAAAAGGAAAGCTGCTCGCTTTCTAAAACGTTCCCATATAGCTTTGTCCACAATTCTATAGCAGCAGTTATCACAGAATATAATGACTGTTAGCCTTCCTGTTTCCTTCTGCACTTAAGAGGACAAGGATTACGTCTTTTCACTTTCTTAACTGCATTAGCATTTACTGCTTTGCTTGGAGTTAAGTCAGTGCTCAATAAACACTAACTGATTGAAAAATCATGAAGTTAATAAATCTCATTTGAATACTTACTTAAAGATCAAAACTGTTATAGATGATTGATCTTTACTGAAGTGTGATAAAACAGAACAGTGTATGTTTATTTCTATATTGGCGCATAAAAACAAAACCACGTGGCATTACAAATCAGGGCTTCGAACCGGTTCGTTCAGGTTCGACCCCCTACTGAAGCCCCAGGAATCACCTGGGGATCTTGTTAAACTGTAGATTCTGTTTCAGTATATCTGGGGTAGAACTGCAAATTCAGCAGAACCAATCGGTTCAAAGCCCTGTTACGAATCCAGTATGTCCACGCGTCCATGGTATTTTGTGCTGCTCGTTGGACAACATACACCTGTTTAAAACCACACTGTACTTGGAGAGTTAATGCTCAGTAACTGTCACAAACAGCATCCACAGTATTTACTAAAAACTTAAACGTCTCAGAAATATAAAGTACCAAATAAGAAAAATCAAGATTCTCCTCAAGAGATAAGTCTCTTGAATCACAGTATGACATTCAACTTTATCTTGTCACGTTAAAATAATTTTCCCATGCTGACAGTATACTTAAAACTTGGTAGCATGTTAGCAGTAAAAAGAGACACTGACAATAATCAAATATAAACAAAGAAACTTACATTTCACGATGATTTCCTGCTATAGTAATTTTTGCTGAATGCCATTCCTTCAAATGTTTTAAAGCTCCTACAGTAGGTAAACAGTCTTTCAGTTTAGGAGGATCTTTGTCAGAGGGCAGTAGTATTATATCTATCATTGCTCTACCTGGCAAGAGAAAAAAAAAATTTTTGTAATTTTTTAAAGATGTTAGATCTGAAATGTCTCAAAACAGTACCCTGAACAATTGAATTTTCTGTTTCTTTGTAAGATAGAGGGTGACTGTAATTTCTGAAATACTTCAAAACAATACACATCTTCAGGAGCTCAAAATCTTTAAAAGTTCATCATTTGACTTACAGCCATATTATCCTGAAACAGCTGGCACGTGCCAGAAAACAATAAACTACATCATAATTACTTGCCAACTCTGCAGCATTGGTTAATTATACACATTGCTCTTGAGATCATCAATGCTATTGTTGCACTGAACAAAGAAAACAAAAACCTGTGCAATTTCATTATATTTTTATCTACTTAATTTTGTTATCCAGAGGAGAACGGATTAGTATAAAATTATAATGTACAAATAAATTACTTCTGTTTTAAAAAGACAATAAAACATTCAGAAAACCCAATTATACTGACAACATCATTGGATTCAGAGAAATAATAACTTCCTACAAATTTAAATTTTATAAAACTATAAATTTACTGGAGGATCATAAAAATCAAAACGAAACAGAAACCAAGTAAAAATTTGATAATAAAAGTATTCCTACTGGCCAAAACAGCAACTGTATAATATTTCAGTGTATTCTTTGAACTTGACAAATTACATTAAGAAGTTGATATAGAAATTTATTGTGTTATTTTTCATATGGGACCTTTTACATTAAAATATGATCCTTAGATACAAGGATTCAACTGCCTGTGAGCTATGAGCTCCTTCACGGTAATCATATATGCTTTACTCATCACTGTTTACTCCGCTCCTAGTTTAGTGCAAAGCATTTAATAGACACAACAAATACCTGCTTAATAGATCAACAAATACCTTCTTAATAGATGACCTTCAATAATGAAAATACATATTCAGAAAAGAAAGCTCTACAAAAGTTATAACAAAAAAAAAAAAAAAAAAAAAACCAAACCCATTGCCGTTGAGTTGATTTGGACTCATAGCGACCCTGTAGGACAGAGTAGAACTGCCCCACAGAGTTTCCAAGGAGCACCTGGTAGATTTGAACCACCAACCTTTTGGTATAGTGGACACCAAACTGTACCGAGTTTTAGATACCAGCTACTTGATTAACACAAAGAAAAATGACTTTAAGACAACAGTTTTAAGAATAATATGATGCAGTATTTCACAAACTATGTTTTCCATTATAGGGGGAAAAATAGGCTCAGTTAAAAAAAAAAAAAAGTTGAGTTAAGAGTGTCTTTAACTGCTCGATCTTCCATTTGATAGTGACTTCAGGAGCCCTGGTGGCACAGTGGTTAAGCACTCAGCTGCTAACTGAAAGGTTGGTGGTTTGAACCCACCAGCTGCTCCACAAGAGAAAGATGTGGCAATCTGGTCCCACAAAGACTACAGCCTTGGAAACCGTATCAGGAAGTTCTACTCCAGCCTACAGGGTCACTATGAGTAGGAACTGACTCGATGGCTCATAATGATGGGTTTACTTTTATACTGACTTCACCATAAGAAACTGTTACCCAAATTATCTAGGTTAAAGAACCTCTTTTTCCAGAAGTTTTCAAAGAACTGGCATTCTATAAAACATACTCTGGAAAACAATGGCATACAGTGGAAAGATTCTTCTTCAGTAATAACTAAATAAGGAAGCAGAGATGGGTTCTTAATTTTCTAAGTTTTAATTTTTGTCTAATTGAAAACAGTTAATAGAATTGTAACGTCTCAATGATGATTTTACTAAAGTAATGGAGTATTTTTTATACATTCAATTTCAATTAAGAAATCATTTTGCATCTTGAATTTCAAGACTTGCAGTGAGAAATAAAGACTGAATTTATTACTTATTCATAACAAGTATAAGATCAGACACAAGTTATTGGAAGCAGTCATAAAATATTACCAGGTGCAGGAAGCTTGTCTGATAATTGATGTAAATTTTCTGCAGATTCTTCATATAGACTAAAATTAAAAAGTTAGGAAGAAAAAGAACACATACATATTTCCAACTGATAATCATATTAATTATGATTAAGTAATATTATTTAAATGTTTCTATGTATCAGACACTGTTCAGTATGCTAGATACATTATCTCATTTGAGCCTGTTGGCAATCCTATAACACTGTATTACTATTACTATTCCCACTTTCAATAATTTGCCTAAAATCACATAACTAGTAGCCGTGAACATTAGGATTCAAACTCAGAGCCCAAGTTCTTAGCTACATCCAACAAACAAACAAAATAAATAAATAACTAATGGCTTAAATTATATCTAGTATATTAACAGAAATCACAACTAACAGACCAAACATTTTTCTAAACCCTGAAAGTAAAGTATTGCTAAGAGTTTGCTAAAGTAGGATGCTGCTCTTTTTCTGAACGTTACATAGAGATTCATGCATGTAAGAAAGTACAGGCCAGCCCTCACTGGAGAATATGATATCCTCCTTGGAACTCTTCATAAGTTATTAGTTTTATCCATATGATGAATTTTTTTTTCTCAAAATAGTTTCTATCATAAAGGAATTAAATCCTGTATTATAAACCCACCATCATCTAAAAGACTTGAGGTGTCTTATGTCAAACTATAGTTCTTAGGCTCCCTCTTGTGGAAATAATTATTAGGTCACTTTTCAGATACATTTACTTTTAAACTTTAATCCCTGTTGCCGTCAAGCCGATTCTGACTCATAGCAACTCTATGGGACAGAGTAAAACAGCTCCATAGGGTTTCCAAGGAGCAGCTGGTGGACTCGAACTGCCGACCTTTCGTTAGCAGCCAAGCCCTTAACTACTGCACCACCAGGGCTCCTAGTTTTACATTAGTCATCTCTTAATAGTGATAGGGAAAAATATACAATGATAAAGCTTTAAGGCTGGAAGGCACCTTACGCATCACCTAAAACGACTCCAACACTTTATGGATGAGAAAATAAAGGACCAGAGAAGTTAAGTGATCAGCCTAGAAGTGACTAGAGACCTCCTCTACCTAGTTCAATGCCCTTTCCACCATCCCACAATGTCTCCCTTCATTACTCAGCATAAATAAATACAATCTGAAAAAAACGAAAATGGAATTTTTAAAGTCTGTAGCTATTTATAGAAATACTTCTATACACAGATACTAACATAAAAGCAGTTTTCTATTACCAAACACTATGGAAGACTACAAATAAAATGTATTAACTATAAGACATATATATACAGAATATCTCATGAAGAAAAGAAATTATAACAAAATATTATCGCCTGGGTCAACTATTACACTATAACTCAAAAAACTTAAAACTCAACTGAATTGTGTATAATCCTTAAAAACTTTATGGATTTTAAAAGATATCTGAAATGCTGAAAATATGCATAAATTAAAGAAATCACATATTTTTTCCTAAAATAGCAAAATGAAAATGGTGCTTTGTTTTGAAAGCCAGCTAAATAAAGTTGATATTCTGGGTTCTTAAAATACAGCATCACACAGAAATGTATCTTCAAGAAAGTGGCATGTTAATTAAAATATCACTTTTTTGTGATTCCTGTAATTATGTAACTTTAGGAAGGTAAATATTTTCAGATACCAACTTTTACCTTTTGAATAATTTTATTCAAATAAAAGGCCTGAGTTGAAATTTTCAATTAATTAAAACTTCTTTACTATAGCGGCTAGAAAATCTAATCTTCATCCTCATGGCCTAAAATAACTGCCTAATGTTAAATATTTTCAGATGTTATAAAAGCATATAGCATACTCAGCCAAGGATAATGATTCCCTGCTATTACTATCTTCTTCCTCAAAACATTCAACAGCACTCAAACATTCTTCGATATTTGTCTGAAGAACATCTTCAATTTCATCTTTTTCTGTGTCAAAATGCATCTCTTCCCAGTCAGAACTACAAAACTAATAAATCAAAACATTGCATTAACTAATGGATTCATGGAATTATTTATATTAACAAAGACATTCACTAATAACTATTTTTTATTTATATTACCTGATAAAATCCACATATTGCCTGTACTGCAAAGAACCACTTCTTGGAACCAGGTATACCGCCCACTGAACAGGCTTGAAAGCAAAATCACAACTTATTAGAAGACAGGCCTGCCATAAATAAGCATCTGTCATAGCATATATACTTAGGCATCATAGTATAATCTGATACATATTACAAAAAGAGTTCTCCAAGTTATATATATTATGTGTATCTTTCTAAAATCTCTACTAAATATGCAAACAGAACAATTGCCTGAATAGCAAAATTCTTCACTCACAATGAATACTTTGCTTTTTGGTTCATCACTATTCAAAACCCATGTTTACTATTTTCATCATCATTTCAAACAGAGTAAAATCTACCATAAGGATGTTGAAAAATACACCTACTCAGTTACTGCTGAATAACAAAAAAATCATGCAAGTCATTTTAATGAAAATGATTCCCTCACCAAAGACCATGCAGAAATTGAGATTTGGTTCAGCCTGGCTGGAGACAGAGGCGTTAAAGAGCAACTATGGCTACAAAAGAAGGAAGATGCTCGTCTTGGAGAACAGCATATTATATGAGGAAATGAAGTTAAGAGTCACCAGGGTGCATGTCAGAAGTATCATCAAGAATTTAGAACTATCCACAGAAATAGGATTCAAAGGAGGGTCAAGGACAAGTGTGGTAGCTATTCATGGAAACTAGGTGAGATCTAAGTGCTAAGATCCCAAGCTTTCTACAACAGTCCCAACAGAAGACTCTACCTCTTACTTCTTTAAGAAAATAGAAGCTATTAGGAAATAACTCTCATAAGATCCTGTTAGCAAACATGCAATCCTGCTTGTATTCCCACTCAGTCTTCCCTCATTCTTTCCTGTTAACATGTAAGAGGCACTGCCCTTCCAATTCAAGTCTACCCCCTCAGACCTCCTCTGGGACCCCAGGCTGGCGATACTATTTTTTGTCTCTTCAATCTCTCCCCTCTCTGCCAGTTCCTTCCTATTAGTATTAAACATACACAATTATATGCACAAATTTTTTTTTTTTTAAAAGGGTGGGGGGAGGCTCCATTTAAACTCACCTCCCTTCTCCAGTTACTGTTTCTCTTTCTTTACTCTCCTTCAGGGATACACATTCTAAAAGTGCTGTCTACACATGCCTCCATTTCCTCATCACCTTTCCCATCCCCACAAATCCACCGGAATCTGAAACTATACTCACCAAGGTCACCAACAAGTGACATATTACTAAACCTAACAGACATTTTCAGTTTTGTTCTCACTGACCTCTTCGCATAGGAATAAGAGGGAAGAATCAAAGATGATGATACATTTGACTACTTTCTCCTTGAGACATGGGGAACTTGAAGATTCTGCAGCACCTGTCTTTCTGGCTGCTCCTCACTGCTTTACATACTGCTGTTCGGTCCTCAGGATTCAGCCTGAGATCGTCTGCTCTTTCCACTGTACATCAGCAATGCCATCCTTTCTCACTGCTTCAACTGACATCTATACATTGTTAATTCTGTAATCTCTATCTACACCCTATCCTGCCTTTGGAGTTCCCAGATACATGCATCCAGCTTTTAAAAACATTTCCACTTTGACATCTTAACAGGCAACTAACCACATGTTCCAGATCGAATATGTCCCATTCCCTCTAAATCTGCTTCTTCTACCTCACTAAAATGCCACCACCACACTATTACCCAAGCTTATGTCATCCTTAATTCCTTTCTCACCCTTCCCTTCTCATAAACCACACCAATATACCACTAAGTCAAGTGGATTCTACCTCCATTTTTTTCCTTCAAATCTATTCATTTTCTTCCACCCTGGCTGCCTCCACCATTTCTCAGCTGACCTTCTGCAGCAGTCTCCTAATATTTATATCCTCCTCTAATCTGTCTACTATACTGCAGCCAGAATACTTCCAAAGCACAGGTCAGATCATGTTTCTTGCTTTGTTAAAGCTTTGAATGGCTGCTGATAACCATTAGGAAAAAGTCCAACTCCATGACATGATTTTAAAAAACCCTCCATGTAGCTATGCCTGTCTAGCCTTAGCTCAATTCCAGGCATGTTGCACTTCTAGTTCCTCAGACTTGGCCTATACTGAAAGCAAAGATCCAAGCACGGTAGGAAATTCAGTACAGGCAGCTCTCAGTTTGCACAACTCCAATAAGTACAGATTTCAGTCACCATGATTTAAACAACACTAGTCCCCCATTAAAGCGGTTCAAATTTTAGTTACCACGGTATGTTAACTGAAATCTATAAAGTAAACTTTCACTGCTAGCTTCTTAGTCCACAAATCACTACATAAATAAACCACTACATAAATAAAAGACACACATCATGATCAGTGACCAATCACAATATACTTTCAAAGCTGGTCACTGATTGGTCACTGCACATCTGCTATTCAGTTCACATGCAGATAGCAAAACATGTCATTGTGTTGCCTCCTTGTCTCCTAGTGATAAAGCCATGTTCTAGTTTACAAAAATGGATAATTGGAAGAGGGAATTGGCCAAAAAAAGATGAAAACACGCAAAGAAACTAGAAGTAATGTGCAAGAAGTTCTAGATATGCACCCAGAGGAACTGAGTAAATAAGGAAAGTGGTTGTGACGAAAGGATGAAGCTGTCCCAGAGAAAATGACCCCAACAAAAAAATTCACATTAAAGCAACCTGGAGAAATTATACATCACTGAAAGTGAAAAGGATAGAACGTGGGAAGCTGAACCAAACTCAGAAAGAAGTCTGTCAACTCACCAAAGGAAAGAAAAGAGCACTGTTCCAACTACTCTTCATAATGTTTTTACAAAGAAATCAATCAATTTAATTCTCAATGTTTTTAATGTTTAAATTAGTGTACTAAGTATTAGCTTTACTTTTTTTGTCCCTATACATTTATAACCAACAGTAAGAGAATTTGTAATGCTTTGACAAATATTTTAAAGGTCATGGAATAATTGTAATTTTCCCCATTGATTATTATATTAAGATTCTTTGCACAGTTTCAGCTTGCACAGTCATTTTTACGTGCATACTACCATGCAAAACGAGACTGCCTATATAAAAAACTTCTATCCACACGAATGGAAAACTAAACATCATTAGAACTCCTAGAATGTCCCAAGAGTTGTTCTACATATACATATGAGGCATAAATAAATGAAAATATTTCTTGCAGTAATAGTGGTAGTAACTTAAATTATACCAACTTGAAAAATTAACAGGAGTATTACTGGGACTTAGAAAACAGCCTAGAGCAGCACATTTATATTAGAAACCATTTCTCAAAGGTGATAGTTGAAATCAAGAGATAAGAGGTTCGCTAATGAAAGAAAAAGAAAGTAGCCGATTGTACATTCATGAGAACAAATTTATCAAAATGAACACACTCTGCTTGGCATTTCCAGAACTTCCCTTCAGTGTTTATTGGAGCTGGTGGCGCAGTGGTTAAGTGTTCGGCTGCTAACTAAAAGGTCCGTGGTTCGAATCCACCAGCCTTGGAAACCCGAAACGGCAGTTCTACTCTGTCCTATAGGGTTGCTATAAGTCAGAATCAATGGCAACAAGTTTGTGTGTGTGTGTGTTTTTTTTCTTTCAGCCTTTAGAGACTGGTCTGTTCTAGTATCTCCATTTTCTGAGTCTTTAAAGGACATGCTCAGAGAGAGGACAAGAAGAGGAAAAACAGAGAAGACATCTATTAAAGAAGTAAGAAGATGGATTTGTATAATGCCAATAGAGACTAAAGAAGGATAGCTTTAAAGGGGTGGTCAGAAAAGTCAAACATTGCAAAAACGTCAAAGCAAATAAGAATCAAGTAAAGGTCACTGTGTTTAACAACTATGAAATACTTTTAAGAGAATGAGTAAGAGATAAAGATAGAAAAATAAATTACAAGAAAGTGGGTGTAGGAGCAATAACAATGCATTTGTACTCAGGACAGGATTATAAATCCTCCCCATAATACCACATTACCCTATTTTATCTGGACCTAAAGAAAAGCAGGAAAATTCCATAAAGGGGAAAAAACTCAAGATGAGAATCTAGAATAATTCTCCTAACAACTTTATGACATTCAACCATCAGGAGAAGGATAACATCTTTTTCAGTTTTGTATTCTCTTAGGTACCTCCTCCCAGTGCCTGGTACGCAGTCAACAAGTATTTTTTTGTGTTCCTAAATGAACGAATTAATTTAGTCTTCAACACAAACGCTGTGATAGAGAAAAACGGGTTTATGTGACACTTTGGACTCTAGTATAACAATGATCATGAAGATGGCACCACAAAAACAAACAAACAAAAACGTTGCCATTGAGTTGATTGCGACTCATAGTGACCCTGCAGGACAGAGGAGAACTGCCACATAAGGTTTCTAAGGCTGTAATCTTCTTATTGACTCTCCTTTGTAAATGACTTTTCATTTATCCCTAGCGGCTCTTAAAATTCTCTCTTTATCTTTGGTTTGGGCAAGTTTGATTATAATATGTCTTGGTAACTTTCTTTTGGGATCTACCTTATGTGGGGTTCGATGAGTATCTTGGATAGATATCTTGTCATCTTTCACGATATCAGGGAAGTTTTCTGTCAACAAATCGTCAACAATTCTCTCTGTATTTTCTGTTATCCCCCCCATTCTGGTACTCCAATCCCTCACAGGTTACTCCTCTTGATAAAATCCCACATAATTCTTAGTTTCTTAATTTTTTTAAATCCTTTTATCTGATTTTTCCTCAAATAAGTTGGTGGGAAGTGCTTTATCTTCAGTCTCACTAATTCTGACTTCTATTGCCTCAATTCTGCTCCTATGACTTTCTATTGAGTTGTCTAATTCTGAAATTTTATTGTTAATCTTCTGGATTTCTCACTGCTGTCTCTCTATGGATTCTTGCTGCCTGTTAAATTTGTCACTATGCTCTTCTCTAATTTTTTTGAATTCTTCTATTGTGTGTTCTGCGTTTTGCTTAATTTTCTTCCTAATTTCTTGGAGAGTTCTGTGTATTAATCTTTCGTATTCTGCCTCCGGTAATTCCAACAAATTTTCCTCCTCTGGAAAATTTCTAGATTCTTTATTTTGGGAGCTTGCTGAAGCCACCGTGGATTGCCTCTTTATGTGATTTGATATTGACTGTTGTCTCTGAGCCATCAGTAAGTTATTAATTTATTTTATGTTTGCTTACTGTGTCCTAGCTTCTTGTTTTGTTTTGACATGCCCAAATAGGCTGCTCGTATAAGCTGGTTTGATGATTGGCACCTTTGAAGCTCTAATGTCCTGTCACCAGGTGGTTAGATCTGTTACTAGGTATGTGAGCTCAGGTGTCTGCCCACTCCTCCTGTATGGATTCAGCTCAGGTGCCCAGGTAGATAGCCACCAAGTGTGTGGTGTAGGCTCTCACTTACAGTCCTAGACAGGTATGGGTGATTGGTGTAGGCAAAGGTATCTGGCTGCAGCAGGGGGACACACTCTGAGCAAGGCAGGGGGCAGAAGGCTGCCCCCAAGTGTCAAGGAGGAAGGCGTGTCCCTGTTCCCTAGAGCACATAGGTGGGTGGGTTTTGCATCTGGACTATAAGCACCTAATGTTGTTGGCTGTACGGACTGGGGGGCACCTCTTATTCATGGGCCCCTATCGCAGGTGGCCAGGTGGCACGGGTGGATCCACCAGTCCTCAGGCTCCTGATGTGGGTAGGTGAAGACCCTGCTTAATAGGCAGAGCAGTGTCAGATGTCAAGAACCTGCCACTTCACAGCTGCAACAGTTGACATTAGAGTTCTGGTATATACCCTGTTGTACTGCGGTAATAAGGGCCTATGCTGTTGAGATGGGCCCACCCAAGTCCATGCAGGGGGAAAGGCACTCAAAGTCCATGGACCCCTTATGCCTGTGCCTAGGCAAATGAGCTGGGTTCCTGGCTTAGGGGAGCTGGCAGTTTATTTTTTTCCCTGTTTGTTAATTTGTTCACTCTCCAAGGCAGGGAGAATGGCTTCGGGCATGTGACGGATCCTACTTCCGGCCCAGGAGACTCGGCAATTGCTGAAGCCAGTCGGGGATCCAGCGCAGAGCACAGAGTGGGGAGGTAAATGGGAGAGAGGTTTTTCCCTAAGAGAGTGTGTTTGATCCATGCAGTAAGCTGTATGCAAGTACTTATCTTTCGCCGATGAGGGCTGCTTCTCTCTGGTTCTGGGTGGCCGTGCAGACTCTCTGGCTCTGGGTCTCTCCTGGTGGGGAAAATGTGCCTCCCCAGCACTGCTGCTTGCCTACCTCACCACTCACCCCCAAGCTGATCAGGCCTGAACGGCTCAGGCTCTTGCCGGGTCAGGTATGGCAACTCCTCGCTGCTTCCAAACTGTCTCTCCCTCCCCCTGCCACTCAGTCTGGTTCCTCAACCCTGCCTTTGATGTTCAGGGCTCCCAGATTGCCATATATAATCGAATCACTTGTTTTTTTGGGTCTTTGTTGTAAGAGGGTACACTGGAAGAGTCTGACTACTCTGCCATCTTGGCCCCGCCCCCTCAGGCTGTAATCTTTACAAAAGCAGGCTGCCACATCTTTCTCCTGCACCGCAGAGCTACTGGTGGGCTCGAACCATGAACCACTAATCTTTCAGTTGGCAGCCAAGCTCTTTAACAACTGTGCCACCAGGGCTCCTTGAAGATGGCACAGGACCAGGCAATGTTTCATTCTGCAATACATAGGGTCGCCAGGAGTGGGAGCCAATTTGACAACAACTAACAACAAAATGTTATGCTTACCAGGGAAAGTGCTGTCCTCTGGATTAATTGAAATGCTAATGCTTCTTTTCAGAAGGTGATAAACATTTGCAGCTGCTGTTAAGTCTAAAAAACAAAAGACAGACTAATTGAATGAGTTCATCATCTAGGCCTATTCCAATTTCACTATCAGAGACTCTCAAGACCAACATGTTGCACATAAAAGAACTACATGCTACTCAACATCTACTTGAGTTTTGCTGTAGGAAATGTAAAGCACACATAGAAAAAGAAAAAAGACTGTTCCTAATTTGCACATGCCAGCCAGTTAACACAAATCCAAAACTCCTCCAAAAACAACAGTATTAAACAGAAGGAAAAGAAACCTCTATTACAGACACTTCCTCCACAAAATGCCTGCTTATTCAAAATAAACATATAAATAAAATGTAATACCAAGTCTAGACAAGGGCACCAAAAAGCAGTGTAATCGCAAATGGTTAATAGTTTTAAATTTATTGTTTGTTTTTAAATTAATGTTATTTGTGAGACGTCTCCTCCCATTAAAATATAAACTCTAGGAGAGCAACAACCCTTTCCATCTTATTCTTTTCTGTATTACCTGCATTTGGAACACAGGAAATAAGAATAGTTAAGGAATGCATACACTACCATCGAACAGAACTTCCTTTACTAAAGGGCAAGGAATTTATTCAGTTAAAATTTTACTGAGGCAGACATACTTACTGAATGCATGAATTTCCAAAGAGCAGAATTCTCATAACCAAAGCACGGGGAATTTAGTTAAATTTTTACCGTGCCAATTAACTTCTGAACACTTGCATCCACAAAATCGTCTCTATTTTTCCATGAAGATGATGACATTTTTTTTCAGCCCTTATTAAATCTATCCAGATCGACTCGTAGCTTTCTGGGACAACTCAAACAGAACTTGACCACAAACTCAACCTTCCCCGCCTCTTCAGCCGTTCCCGCCCTTTCTTAGCCCAGCGCTTACCCGGCTGGTTCTCGGCGCCCTCAACCCACGGCGCCCCTGGCCCGAGCTCCGCCTCCCCACTGGCCACCGACAGGACTTTTCCTTCCCCCCAGATCACCAGAAGCAGGTACCGATCCATCTGCTCAAAGCTGACCTCCCGTTTAAGGGCTCGGCGGGCAGATCTAAACAGCCGCGCGCTAGTGACACACTTCCGGTTCCTAGCCTTTTCGGTCGGCTGGAAACTGTGTCTGACATCTGGTTTCCGCAGCTTTTCAAGAAGTGGGGGTATTTTCGGGAGTTATATTCTCAATAACTGCGTTACTTCCTCTTTTCATGACAATATCGCTACCTGCCAGAAGACTGGGGGGACCCAGGAAAGGCAGAGAAGCAGACGGGAGCTGGGCTGCCTAGGAACTATCGTACTTGAATATGTGCGTTTCCCGCCGGGCCAATTGTGCTGTCTGACCGGCCCTGGGTCCTGGAAAAAGGAGGACGCTTCCGCTAGTGGGAAAGCATGTCGAGTTTCTCTAAGGCGCCGCAGGTGAGCGCGGACTCTTGTGGCGTGATGAGGTTCATTACATTCACTGAAAGAGATCGATGGTTCAGGCGAATTTAGTGGTGCAGCTGACCCGCCAGGGAACTTGAGACCTTCAGCCAGGAGGTGCCTCGGGAAAGCAAAGACAAAAGGGTCGTGTCTGTGGCCACCACTTACTCTAGTTCGCTCCAGACTAAGACAAACTAGGGAGAAAGGCCTGGTGATCTACTTCCGAAAATTAGCCAATGAAAACTCAGTGGATCACAACAGAATATTGTCTGATATAGTGATGGAAGATGAGCCCCCTATGTTGGAAGGCACTCAAAATGCACAGTGGCTGCAAGAATGGACCTGAGCGTACTAAGGATCCTGAAGATGGTGCAAGACCGGGTGAAGTTACTTCTGTGAGTTGGTGCCAACTCGATAGCAGTAACAAGACAGGAGCTTGTCTAGCATGTTTGAGGTTCAGCAAGAAAGCTAGTGTGACTTGAGTAAGAGAGGGAAGGAGTAGTAGGAGACGTCACAGGTGTAGCGCACAGGGCATTGGACGCTATAGTAAGAATTTGTTTTGTACGCTGAAGGAAATGGGGACCTATTATAGGGTTTTGAGCCAAGGAGTGACATGATCTGACTTAGATGTTAAAAGGAGCACTTTGGATGCTGAGTTGAGAATAGACTGTTCTGAGATAGGGATTGGTGAAGTATGAAAGCAAAGAATCCATTTGGAAGCTATTGTAGTAATCCAGGCTAGAGAATATTGTAAAAACCAGTCTAGTCACAGCAGAGTGTTGAAAAGTGGTTGGGTTCTGGATATGTTTTAAAGATGGAGCAAATAGGCTTTCCTGAACGATTGGTTATGGGCTGACACCAAGAGGAGCAGGGATTACTCCAACGTTTTATGTTTTTTTTTTTTTTACATGTTAAAATGTGGCAGTATTTATTTATTCATTTTTATTGTTGTGGTTTAAGTGAAAGTTTACAATTCAAGTTGGAAGTCTCTCATAAAAAAATTTATACATATTGTTATGTGACCCTAGTTGCTCTCCCTATACTCTGACAGCACGCCCCTCCTTTCCACCCCTGATTTCCTGTGTCCATTCAACCAGCTCCTGACCCTCTCTGGCTTCTCATCTCACATCCGGACAGGAGCTGCGCATTTAGTCTCATGTATCTACTTGCTCTAAGAAGCACACTCTTCACGAGTATCATTTTTTGTCCCACAATCCAGTCCAATCTTTGCTGAAGAGTTGGCCTCAGGAATTGTTTTAGTTCTATTCCAAGGTTTTTCGTTTGAGTAACTAGAAGGGTGTGCCAATTATCAATTGGATAAGCAAGGCTGATGCTGAAGCAGGTTTCAGGTGGAAGAGCGAGAGTTCACTTTTGGTTAGGTTGGTCCTAGATGCCTTTTAGCCCAAACTAAAACCAAACCCATTGCTATCAAGTTGATTCCAACTCATAGCAACCCTATAGGACAGAGTAAACTGCCTCATAGAGTTTCCAGGGAGCACCTGGTGGATTCAAACTGCCAACCTTTTGGTTAACAGCCGTAGTACTTAACCACTATGCAACCAGGGTTCCCCCTCTTAGCCCAGTGCTGCTCAAATTTTGGTTCCTTCCTTAAACTGTTTGTAACCTGTCCATGATGAGATAAATACAGAGTGTGAAAGTAATTGTTTAGAAAGTTTTATAGCAATTTGACATTATGGCAGTATTTTCATTTTTTTGTCTTTTTTTTTTTTTTTAATGGAAGTATTGGCCTATAATAGATTGGGGAAAAACTGGTCTTTCATTACAGATGGTTTGAGAAGCACTATAGTACAGATGCCAAGTGGACAGTTGGATATGGGTCTGGAGTTCGGGAAACAGAATTAGGCTAGAGATGTAAATTTGGGAATCATCAGCATACAGATGTCATTTGAAGGTATGAGACTGGATGAAGTCTTTGAGAAAGTGAGTATAGCTATAGAACAGAGGAAGACCAAGAACTAAGCCCTGGAATATTTAACATTTAAGAGGCAAGAGATAGGGGAGAGCAAGCAAGGTGGGGGAAAAAACCACCAGAGGGTGGTGTCCTGGAAATCAAATGAAGAAAGAACATTCAAGAGTTAGGAATGATGCCCTGACAGGGAACACAACAGAGAGTCCTTGATGGAGCAGGAGAAGAGTGGGGTGCAGAACTCAATTCTAGTAAAAAGACCAGACTTAATGGTCTGACTGAGACTGGAGGAACCCCAGAAAGCATGGCCCCTGGACTCTCTGTCAACCCAGAACTAAAACCATTCCCGAGGCCAACTCTTCAGTCAAAGATTAGACTGGACTATGGGGCATAAAATGATACTCGTGAAGAGTGTGCTTCTTAGCTCAAGTAGATACATGAGACTAAATGGGCAGCTCCTGTCCAGAGGTGAGATGAGAAGGCAGTGACAGTCAGGAGCTGGTTGAATGGAGACAGGAAATCGGGTGGAAAGGAGGAGTGTGCTGTCACAGGATAGGCAGAGCAATTAGGGTCATATAACAATATATGTATAAATTTTTGTATGAGAGACTAACTTGAATTGTAAACTTTCACCTAAAGTACAACAATAAAATAAAATAAAGAGGAATGATTAATTTTATTGAAGACTTGGAATTTACCAGTGGATTTAGCAACATGAAGATCATGGTAACCTTGACAAGCAGTAAAGTGATGGTGATAGGTGTGGGAGGACAAAAGCCAGGTTGGAGTTTGTTGAAAAGAGAATGGGGACAGAGAAATTACAGTAAAGTTAACTCTTTGGATGAATTTTGCTGCAAAGGAGAGGAAAGAAATGAGGCAGTAGCCCGTGGGAAGTAAGGTCAAGAGTTGCCTTTTTTTTTTTTTTAATTTTGTATTATAGGGAATTTCAAACATATAAAAGTAGGTATCAACCAGTTTCAAACAAACAAAACTCATTTCATCTGTACCTCCATCTACTTCTCCCCATCCGTTATTATTTTGAGGTAAATCCCAGGCTCATACTGTTTTGCTGGTAAATTTTCAGTATGTTCTCTAAAAGATAAAAGACTTTAAAAAGCATAATTTCAATACTATTTATCAAAACTAAAAGCAAAATTATCTGTATTTCCTTAATAGCATCAAATATCAAGAGTTCAAATTTCCAATTGCCATGTGATTTATATATATATGACTGTACATATATATAGTTATTAGACATGAAAGGGAGATGTCATACTCTTCTATTTGTCCAGCATTTCTCAGCATTCCTTTTTATTCTTTAATTTTATTGTGAAATATATAAAAATTTAAGCGTTTTTTAGTGTACAATTCAGCAACATTAAATATATTCACCTTATGATGCTTTTTTTGAATCATTGTGAACTCATGAGTTTGAACATATTTGATGTGCTTCGTTCCATTGCAGTCATTATTCTTACTGATGGCCAAAAGAACGTTGTAAGATGGGAGAAATAACAGCGTATTTCTGGTGGGAAAGGTCCGTAGCTCTGTAACTTTTTACTGTTTATTTAAATGGCTGCTGGGATGTCTGTAAGTGAGTCATCCGTTCCTCTACTGATGAATCTGCACCGTTTCTAGTTTTTCTGCCCATGCAGTGTAGTAATAAGCATTCACTGTGCACTCAGATATGTATTTATGGCTAGAGCTTTAATTTCTCTAGGATTGATTTCCTAGGATGGAATTACTGTGTTGACGTTTCTTTTTGTTTTTTAAGAGCTTTTACTAGATACCACCTGTATCTTATATTAAATTCCTGAATTCTATTTCTGTAAACTTTATTATGTTCTTCTGATCTATTTGACTGTTTCTTTGTCAATAATATGCTGTTTTTATTTATTCCCCTCCCCACACCCCCGCTTTTTTTCCCAAGCAATGGGCCACTTTTGCTCGAGTGTGGTATCTCTTAGATGGGAAAATGCAGCCCCCTGGTAAACTTGCTGCTATGGCATCAATAAAGCTTCAAGGATTGCACAAGCCCGTGTACCATCAACTGAGTGAGTATCATTTCAGACCTTTCTGTCATTAACAACCATTGTTTTCATGCCAGAATAGAATCTTGAAGACATTTGTCTGGGCTGCTTTTCAGGGCCTCCTTTTTTTCTGGGTACCCTTTATTCCATTCTTGCTAAAAACTTAGTAGGCACTAAGTAATCTGGCTTATTCATAGGAAAACCATACTGATCAGTCTGCCTGAGACAACCCCAGTTTACACCATTATCCCAGCAAAATTATCAATTGTACCTCCTTTCATTCTCAGAAGTATCTCGATTTGGATGATAAATTAAATGGTCGCTTTTATATAGGTCTCTTCATATAGTGGCATTTGCATTTTCATAGAAAGTTTTTGAAAATAAGGAACCAATCTCACCCTCTCTTCTAAAAACCATTTCCTCTAGAAAAGTATATAGACCTGACTAGGCATAGAAAGTTTACTTTTCACTCTTTTGAAATGATAGGTTTGCTTTTTGTATCTTTTTTTTTTTTTAAACAAGACAGAAGTTGTTTTCATACTGGACGAGTTCTGCTTATAGCTGTTAAAGTAGTTTTGGTTGACTTCACTTACCTAAGCACTTGAGTGACTATGCTGCCAGGTTCTCTTCTCAGTTCTTAGTCCTCATCCTGCTAGACCTGTCAGCAGCATTTGCTGCAGTTGATCACGTTTCGTATAACTTTTTGTTGTGAAATATATCAAACATACAAAGGAGTATATATAAATATATGTACAGTTTAAAGAAAACTAACAATTACAAACTCATAGAGTTGTTTAGTTGATGAGTATTTTAGATACTTTGTTTCACCTCCTCATTGACAGATGAGAAAACTAAAATCAGAAGGATAAAGTGACTTGCTTACTGTCACTCAGCTATATTATACTCGACACTGAGACTAGAACTCAGGCACCTGATTCCCCAGCTAGGAGCCATTGCACTTCACTGGGGTGATTCTTAGCCTAATTACACTGTGTTTGGCTTCCCTGCTTCTTTGGTTTTTTCTTAGCAATTGTCTCGGCAAAGTAGTAAACGAGATCTCTTAGGTTGTTGTCTTTATAGAAATTCAAATTGTATAAAATTTGAGGGAAGGTAGAATTAGTAGCAGTCACCTAATTTCTTTCTTCAACTATAGCACTTACCTGTCAGTTAAAGTTCTACCTCCTTACAAGTAGATTATTTTTGCAAATGTATTCCTTAAGTACTGATGAATAAGCACTCCCTCAGAACACCAGAAGGGCTGTGTGACTGCCTGGGAAGTCTTCCCTTTCTAGTAAGGGAGAATTGCTATTTTACAAAATTAGAAATTAACGTTTTAAAGACTGGATTGCATTTTTGTTTTACTATATTTAATATGTAATTTATAGCAGCAAAACTAATCATGTCCACAAGGTGTCACTAAAATCAGACTTAAAATTACAGTTTTCAATTTATTAGTATGTTGTGTTTTAAGAATTTATTTCTAATGGTTATTAGTTTAATAAGCATTTTTCAGTAACTAGTATATGCTCAGAATCATTGTCAGAATCATTGTAAACACATTTATTTGAAAATTGACCTACACTTTCCCAGAAAAATATCATTGGTGGTTGTATTTCCAGGAATTGTATAAATGTTAATCATTAACCCATAAGGTATCTGAAGAAAAAGTAAAGAATGTTTGAACTACTTTATTTCTTAAATGGACCTTTATGAACTGTTCCGGAAAAACAACCTCTCACTTGTAAGATTATTTTTTATTAAAAATGTGGTCTGGATCAAGATGGAAGTGGTATGGAAATAGGAAAAGAATTCCTTCCTCCTAATTACAGCAGCCCTCCAGAGTTTGGGACTTGGAAGCTCTTTGAACATGTTTCTTTTTCACTGATAAATGACAAGAAAGAGTACATAGTGACTGCAGGAGTATGACTTATTCTTCATGAGGACCCCACTCCTTTTACTGCCCAGGAATTAATTAGTTGAGGAGGACTATGAATTCGCTTAAAAGAAGCTTGGGGTGGGGGGACCTGTCTTTAGCCTTATCTAAAGGATTTTGGAAAAAGATAGGTTTAATTACATTATATTTGATTCTGATGAGGTCAGAATTCCAGTATTGTTATTACTAATTTCTGTTTATTAACTGCCTGTAAATGTAAATGAACATTTTGGCAAAGTCAAGTGAGAGCAGCTTCCTATGGGTTGTAGAATACCTGACAATGATAAAGCGTAAAGGAAAGATATAACAACAGATATTAATAGGTGAATGAAACAAAATGTTTCTGATTTTAAGTTTCTCTGATGGTCAAAAAATTTAAAAGCCAGATTCACCCTAGACACTAAGCTTTTTTAAAATTCTTAATTTCTAATTTAACATTTTCAGGTTGATAGTGCTTAATATATTACTAGGTTAAGTTTACTTTATAGTACTTGAAACTCACTGATAACTATTCAATGTTCTAAACATTTATAGAGTGCTGACTGTGTAAAGAACCATACTGGCCACCAAACACGTGAAAAGATGCTTGTCGTCATTGGCCATCAGAAATGCAAATCAAAACCACAATGAGATACCATTTCACTGCTACTAGGATGGTTAAGATAAAAAAATAAGAAAATAACAAATGTTGGTGAGGATGTGGGGAAATTGGAACCCTTATCTATTACTGGTGAGAATGCAAAATGGTACAGGGATTGTAGAAAACAGTGTGACGGTTCCTCAAAAAACTAGAAGTAGAATTACCATATGACCCAGCAATTCTAAGTATATACCCAAAACACTTGAAGGCAGAGACTCAAACAGATACTTGTACACCAGTGTTCATTACAGCACTATTCGCAATAGCCAAAAGGCAGAGACAACCTAAATGCCCATCAACGGATGAATGGATAAGCAAAGTAGTAAATACATGAAATGGCATACTACTCAGCCAGTAAGAGAAATGAAGTCTACAATATGGATGGAGCGTGAAAACATTATGCTGAGTGGAATAAGTCAATCACAGGGGGACAAATATTTTATGACCTCACTTACGTAAAAAGACAAGAACAGGCAAATGTATAGAGACCAAATTTTCTTAGTGTTACCAGGGGCAAGAGGGAGGGGGAAAAGGAGGGTTATTGCTTATGGAGTACTGAGTTTCAGTTTATGGTGATGGAAAAATTGCATTGATTTTAAGAGTAGGGTTGTACGGCTGATTATTATAATTGCTGTCAATAAGTTGTACACCTGTAAAAAGTTGAATTGGCAAACGTTGTGTGATAGATATATTTATAAGGATGACAAAAAAGAAAGAGTAGGTGCTGAGGCTGCTTATGTACAACCAAAGACCTCATGGGATTTAGTTCCTTGGTTTGGAGGTTTAGGGTCCTGGTTTCATGGGACATCCTAGGTAATTGGCCTAGTAATGTGTTTAGTGCTTGTGTTCTGTTCTACCTCCTACTACGTGTCATAGTGCCTGGGGTCTTAGAGGCTTGCAAGCCACCATCCAAGATACAGCAATTGGTCTCTATTTGCCTGGAGCAAAAGAAGAAGAAGGAGAGTCAGGAATAGAAGGAGTAAATGGCATGTGTGGCTAATTGCCTCCATGAACAATAGTCTCCATTGCCATGAGACCAGAAGAACTGGATGGTGCCTGGCTACCATTACTGAACTTTTGATCAAAGAATCTTTGATCAAAAGGGGGAGAATGCAGAACAGAAGTTCAGAATCTCATGGAATCCAGACTTTCTGGAGTCATGGAGGCTCAATGAATCCCCCAAAACTATTGCCCTGAGATAATCTTTAAACCTTAAACCAAAATAAACCAAAAATACCCCTGAAATCTGCTTAAAACCAAAGAATAGTTTAGCTTAACTAGTCAAGTATGTCTGCCTTGACTAGTTAACATCTGTCTACGTCTTTTAACATCTGTCTACATGGGATCAAATTGACAACAGCAACTTGAAAAATAAGGAAACTAAGGGGGCAGTGAGTTTATGTTAATGGAGAGGAACAACTCTGAAAAGGAGGGTGAGAATGGTTGTACCACTCAAAGAATCAATATCACTGAGTTGTACATGTAGAAACTTGAATTAGTGCATGTTTTTGCTGTGTATATTCTCAATAACAACAAAAAATAAATTATTTAAAAAAAAAACCATACTGGTTCCTGGAGAATAAAAAGATGAGTAAGATATAGTCATTGCTGTCAAGGAAATTGTTATGAACAAGATAAATAATCACAGAGTAGCTTAGAGTCATAATCACAGGCTATTAGCATTTCAGAAACTTGGAAGATCAGGCTCAAATATATTTTTATGAGCTCCCAGTCCCATATTTCTGAATAACAAATCAGACAGTTGGCAGAGCCATTTAAATTTACCAAAACTACTTCACCTGTATTTGAACAGAGCCTGAAAAGGGCTCTCAAGGTGAACTATGGTAATTTCACCCGTCAGATTGCAGAGATTTGGACACTAAAAAGATATTTTTTTGGTGGATTTGTAAATTCTGAGTCCTTTCTGGTCATCAGATTTATAGTATATGTCAAGGACTGTAAGGAAATTCTTACTTTTTGATGTGCTTACATGTCTAGGAATCTGCTCTAAGGACTTAATCAGAGCTGCATATGATAACATGCCTAAAATGATGCTATTGTAACATTTTTATAGTGCTGTATTTAAAAAAAAACCTGTTAATCTGAATAGCCATATGATATGTACGTCATGAAGTTAATGTTTAAACTTTGTTTTTGCATGACATTTAATGTGGGACATTTTTATTAGTATAAAGCTTAAGTGAAGAAAGGAGCTATAAATAATTGGAATTTTATAAAAATTATGCTTGTTGATAAAGATGCTTTGTTATATAGAGTAATCAGACATTTACACATAAACTATACTGTGTACTTAATAGACTGTACTTCTTTAGGCAAGCAACTTGTCTTTTTCTTTTGCATTTCCAATATGTAGCACAAGGACATATCTGAATTTTTTAAACCAATTATTACTGCAATTATTTCATCATGATGCTTTGTGGATGTTTTTATATGTGATTTTGGAGTTTTCCTTTTTAAACTGAGGTGGTAATGTTGACATTCTACTTTTAATTTATTCTCACAAGATATGAAGCATTCCCAAATAAGTTTTACTCTTAAAAGATTCCTGGTCTACATGGAATAAAATAAAATAAAAGATGCACACAGTTCGGAAAGGTTAATGTTAAGAATGCTAGTATACCAAATGATTCAACAAAGATTAGAATTATGATCTGATCTAATAATCTAATCTCTATTATTCTGTCTTATATTATTTATATAAATTTATAAGGACTCGTTAGAAGAAACAGTTTATGATGCTCTTCTTAAAGTTATGTAGCTAGCATACTTTTCTTTCTTGCTGTTAAGTATCAGTCTATTCAAAATGTTAATTATCACACATTTATATTTCACCTCACTCCTAGAAAGTAATCTCACAAAGCACCAAAGGAAATTTTTACTCCAGTTTAGAATACTCTGGAAAAGAGTATGGCAATTTCTTATAAAACCAAACATGAGCTTACTATACAACACAGCAGTTGCAGTCTTGGACATTTATCCCAGAGAAATGAAAACTTACATTCATGCAAAAACTCGTACATAAATGTTTGTAACAGCTTTATTCATAATGGTTAAAAACTGGAAACAAAACCAAATGTCCTTCAACTTTTTTTTAATTTGAAAAATAAGTTTCTCTTCAGAATATCTCTTGATCAGACAGCAGAGCTCTGATTTATATATATTTGATACATATTATATTTTAAGTATAAATTTTCTATAAAAATTAAAAATATTTCTGTTATTTATCTTAACAGAATTTAGACAGAAACAATTGTATTATGCAGGGTTTCAGTCTTTTACAAAAATATTAGCTTTTGTGTTAATATGTAATTCAGTTAAAAGCAATCTTAATTAATCTTTAATTACTGATTAGTTTTATTTAGAGTCAGTAAAGAAGTGTTTCTAAGAATGTTCTTAACGGGAGTTTGGCATTTATAAAGGGAGGATAATTTTCCCAGATTAGATGTTCATGCCTTAGAGCTAAAAGAACGTTATTTTTGTTTGATTTGTGATGCTCTGTCTAATGTCTCTTGGAAGATCCTTTTTGATCTCTACAAATGTTTTTTGAGTAGCTCAAAATGATTTGTGCATATTTAAAGCTTGAAGAGCCATGGTGGCCCAATGGTGAAGCACTCAGCTGCTAACCTAAATGTTGGCAGTTCAAACCCACCAGCAGCTCTGTGGGAGAAAAGACCTGGATATCTGTTCCTGTAAAGATTAATCAAAAAACCAAACTCAAACCAAACCAAACCCGTTGCCATCAGGTTGATTCTGACTAATAGCAACCCTAAGGACAGAGTAGTACTGCCCGACAAGGTTTCCAAGACTGCAGTCTTTTAAGAAGCAGACTGCCACATCTTTCTCCCACAGAGCCGTTGGTCCGTTCGAACCACTGACCTTTCAGTTAGCAGCTGAGCAGTTAACCACTGTGCCACCAGGGTATCATCCCATAAAGTTTACAGCCTAGAAAACCCTACTGGGCAATTCTACTCTGTCTTTTAGGGTCTTTCTGAGGTAGAACAACTCAATGGTACACAAGAACAACAAAAAAGCATAAACAACATTTAAAAAATAAATTCAGCTTTAGTGGGACGTTTAAAGATTCCATTAGATTCCTCCAAATAGATACCACAGAAGAGCCTAAACTGGGTGTTAAATAGATACCTTGGTGTGTGAGCTTCAGCAAATCAATTAGTGGGCTTTGGCTGCTTCAACTGAAAAATGTGCGGATGAAAGCTAAGCTGATTTCAGCATTCCCTGAGGCTTTATAGATAGCTTCTCTCCTTCTGTATTTGCTCTGTGGTTCATTTACCCAGCTGCCTTAGTAGCCCATCATGTGTCATTTTCAGGAACTGTAGTCACTTAATTAACCAAATACTCTCAAACCACCCTTCTCAGCCCACCAGCAACCACCTTCCCAGGTCTTTCCTTCACACTCTGTATTCCCTTTCACTTCAGCCAAGAAAACCTACCTGTTTTATCCTTTGTCCTTCATCCTTGTCCTATATATTATGAACTTCTCTCTGCAAATTCTGCTGTTCATACTCAAAGCTCTGCATAGAATCTTATAATCTATAGTTTCATACACTGTACTTATTTGTAGTTTATATTTTTTCAGTGATTTTTTTCTAAATAATAAGCTTGTAGGATCTTCTGAAGTTTGTTTTTTATATTAGTAAAATAAATAGACGTGTAATGCATGCTTCTGATTACTTGACATTGGCAGTTTAAATTTAACTAGTAATATGTGGTTGGAGAGAACCTTGGGTCAGTAGTTAAGCATAAGATCATGTGCCTTATTCTCAAAACTTGAGAAGAATAATAATTGTGATGTTTTACATTTGTTTTCAATTTACCTATGGTAAACACATACCTGTTTACATCCATATGCATATCGTTTTCATTTTCTCTTCTGTTTTTAAGGAAAAACTGTGTCCGATATTTAAAGGTACTTAATATAAATATTTTTAGTAATATGAACATTAATGGGAAGAGACACTAGTAATAATGGTAGTTTGCCTTTAAAAGATGTATTGTTGTTGTTGGCATCTTTATTAATTTTCTTTTACCTTCCAGTGTGGAGATTTTCAAATGACCAGCCAACTCTTTCTATAGTTAGATGTTATATAAAAGAGTAACAGAAATTTGTTGAAGGATTTTGCTCTTGCACTGTGACTTGCTTTATATTTTTAATTTCTTGTTTAGATGTTGAGAAGCTTTATAAATAATGAAGGCCACTTTTTCTTAAGGTCATAATTTCTCATATAAAATCCCTTCTTTCCTTCCCTCCTCCTCTCTCCCTCACTCCCTCCATCTCTCTTTCTTTCTTTCTTTTTTCTTTATCTAGGTGATTGCGGGGATCATGTTGTCATAATGAACACAAGACACATTGCATTTTCTGGAAACAAATGGGAACAAAAAGTATACTCGTCACATACTGGGTAAGATAATGACATTTTCAAGGAAGATATTCAGTTTAAATATATTACTTTAAGAACACTAATGATCTGACTTAAAAAGAAAAATGTGTATTTTCAAAAATTATTGTTTCAACACTACTTATTTAGTCATTTTTCTTGAGGCTAAGATCCTGTCATATTTGTCTGTGTATTCCTGGCACCCAGCATAATAGACATTCAGTAAGTGTTTATTGAATTTATTTGACTTGAAAAACTCCTGGCTAGCATTTGAAACAAATTTTCCCCTACTCCATTTAGGCTACCCCACACTGTAGGAAGAAATGTAGTTATTTTTTCACCAGTAAAAAATCAGCTGAGCATTGCATTACTGAAGTCATCCCCTACTCTGAATTCTTCATTAGCACTTTGTATCTTCCATGATAAGTTCCAGACTCTTGACATACAGTGTAAATGGTAGTGTGCTTTTAGAATTTGCCATCTCAGTGTTAAAAATAGAAAGATAATTTTTAGTGTAGAAGTTGGAAAGTAATTTTTTCCATGGAGAAAAGGCATACAGGAATAGAAGCCTAGACAGGTATTCCTTTGTCTGAAACAGAAATTCCACAAAATAAATAAAAGAATATCCATTTGAAAAATTTCCATTCTTTCTCAGCAGACTTTTAGATTTAATTCTTAAATTTTATTTCTAAAGTATGGTTCCTTAAGTCATCTTTAAAATGTTTGTAAGTCTCCTTGAAAGAAATTTATAAAGGAGTCACGTTTAGATAATCTGAAGGTTTTTGCAGTGTCCTCTGGCTTTTCAAATTTTTTTCCCTTCCTCAAAAATTATTTGGGCTTTATTCATCTATTTGGGGTAGTAAAACCTTGTGTTGTGTACTGTTTTTGTTTTAATTTCTCTTAGCACTTTCACAAACACGTTCTCATTTGATTCTCATAAAAGCCCTGTGAAGTACATGGCGCAGATAATCATCTTTTTTTAGATGAGTATTTAGAAGGAAAATGAGTTGCCTAATATTATGCAGGGAGCCACTGACAAAACCTAGATTCTAGACCTGGATCTTGGGTATCCAGATCACTAAAATGTGTCCAGTATTATCCCAGATCTTCGTTTGTTTGTTTTTTTAATCTCCAGTTTGTCCATTTTATATGTAATGTTGATCTTAACACAGTGAAATGTTTTCTTACCTAGAGCCAACACGGTCTTGTATGGCTCTCAGTGACCTTTTACCAACTGTTAGGAGGAAACAGTCATCTGTTCAGAGTATGAACTTGACTTCAGAACCAAGTGGTATACCAACATTTTGCCCAAAGTTTATGCCTGGCTCACACAGGCACTTTAAGTCAAATTTGGCAGGCAATGTGAGATAGTCTAGCTTGTTGCTCTTCCGTTTAATTTCAAGCAATAAAAAAGTTACCCACCAAATAAGTGAATGAATGATGAATAACTTAAAATTCAGATAGAAATATAATTATGCAAAGAAAACTTCCAAGACATGAAACTTTTTATGAAACAATGGTTGTTGACCACTTCAGGGAATATTAAGTTATTACTTAATTTGTTAAGGTACTTAATCAACAGCAAAATTTCTAGAAACAATTATGATTTCATAATAAAAATCATTTTCTTATTATAAGAGAAATGTTCACTTTAAGAATACTATACCGTAGCCTACTCCCAGTTTAATGTTTTTGCTTCTTGTAACAGCTACCCAGGTGGATTTAGACAAGTAACAGCTGCTCAGCTTCACCAGAAGGATCCAGTGGCAGTAAGGCTATTGTATTTTTTATTACTTATCATCTGTAGAAAGATTGATTCAGATACTGTTTTTTCAGTCTTCTGTTCTTTTATTGTAGTTAGCATTCAGAGATATAAATTTTTCATCTTAGCTGTATCACACAAGTTTTAATAAATATGATTGCCATTACCATTCAATTCTATGTGTTTTCTAATTACTATTTATTTGCTCAAAGAACTATGCCTTTCTTTTTAATTTGTTGACACCTGCATAATCGTCTAGAATATGATTAAGCTTGCTTTGAAGATATATATATGTGGTTCTTTTTCAGGCTTGCTTGTCAGTTTTGATAGTCTCCTGTTCCTTCATATTTTAAGTGTATTAAACATAACTCTAAACATTTATATCTGATTCTTATATTTTTGGTCTTTGTGGGTTTGCAGTTTATTGTTTCTGCTCGGGATATTTGGTAAGCTCATAGCTCATGTACCTTGGAATTTCATTTGCAGAAATTCTTTGAGACCTATGTTGAAAGTGAACTCCTTCAGAAAAGATTTACTTAGCTTCTCGCAGGTGCATGGGGCTGTATCAACCTACGATCTCTTTAAACTTTTGACTTACAGGGTTTTGGTCCCCGTAAGAAAGATGAATTTTGGGTCCCAAAGCCTTGTGAAGTCAGGCTTATAGTTAGCAGACTGTCGTTATCTAATGCTGCTATAACAGAAATACCACAAAGTGGGTGGCTTTAATGAACAGAAATTTTCCCACAGTTTGGGAGATTCTAGGGGAAGACTCTCTCTCTGTCCACTCTAGGGGCAGGTCCTTGTCTCTCTTCACCATCTATTCCTAGGTTCATTGGCGATCGTGTGGTGTATATTTTTCCCTCTGTTTGTAGTTGCTTGCTTGCTTAATCTGCTCCTTTATATCTCAAAAGAGACTGATTCAAGACACACCCTACACTAACATTTCCTAAACAACATAATGAAGAAAACCCATGCCCAGATGGAATTACAGCCACAGGTATACCAAACCAAAAACCAAACCCATTGCCATCAAGTCGAATTCCAACTCATAGCGACCCTATAGGACAGAGTAGAACTACACCATAGGGTTTCCAAGGCCGTAATCTTTATAGAAGCAGACTGCTACATCTTTCTCCTGTGGAGCGGCTGGAGGATTTAAACCGCTGACCTTTTGGTTAGCAGCTGAGTGCTTAATCACTGCACCACCAGGGCTCCTTCACCGTAGATATTGGGGTTAGGATTTACAGCACATATTTTTTGGGGAAACAATTCAATCCATAAGAAAGACTTGTTTTTTTTAAATCTTCGCACTCTACAATGTGGATATTGCCTTTTGGAGAAGATCCCAGGTTTATTTGGGTGGGGTGGGGGGTGTTTGATGCTGTCCCTGAGGTCCTCATGGCAAATGCCAGCCCTGGTTCATTCTTTTTCCTCTGGTTCCTTCTCATTTCTGGCGTCTAGTTGGTTCCATGCTTTATAAAAAATTACTTAAAACATTTATTAACTTTACTGATGTTTATTAATTACTTTATCATTTGAGTTCTATACCAGAAGTTTCTAATACATATATAAATTCCCAATATTGCTGAAAGTAAAGTCTCCTATTGCTATTTTACAATGTTATTTATCTTTGCTTAGCTCTCGATAACCAAAACCAAACCCACTATCATCAAGTCAATTCCGACTCATAGTGACCCTAGAGAACAGAGTAGAACAGCCCCATAGGATTTCCTAGGCTATAATCTTTACAAGAACAGATCGCAGTTCTTTTCTTCTGCAGAGCTGCTGTGGGTACAAGCCACCAACCTTTCAGTTAGCAGCCAGCGATTTACCACTGCACCACCGGGGCTCCTTTAGCTCTTGATAGACTTGGGCTTTTAACTATACTCACAGGATGGATAACATTTTCCCCAGTGGGACTATTTTAGCTTTTTACATAATAAAAATATTATTTTACATATTATGTACAAAATATTATATATTATAAAATTTTACGTAAGAAATTCACAAATGAGTAAATATTAGACTGAAGTTTTCTTTTTTTTTTTTTCATGAAGTGGTGAAAAAAATAAGTTTATCTGTTGTCAGGATTCAGCCAATTGTTTGGTATATCACTGCCTAAAATTTTCTTGGTAGAGGAGAGGGAAATATTTTATTATAATAAAGCTTTACATACATTTAGAAGTTTCATGCTTTACTATTTATTTTTAGTTTTTGTAAATCATATCTATTTTAGAAAAACATGCTCAGAAATTGCTTCATAGGAAAATATTAAATGCTCTATTTCATAACTAGTATATTTTTCAACTATTAAAGGTCGACTATGAAAATATTTTGCATATAATGGTATTAAAAAGTTGTAATGACTTCTGATAACATATACCATAACTGTGACAATAGATTATAGTTTTCCTTAATACTTTATAAATATTTTTAAGTGTTTTTAAAAATAAATATTAGTTCTGTTTTATTCAAGTATGCTGAATGTACACTGGGAGGCAGTATGGTTCAACTTGCTAATGTTATGGATTTGGCACTGGATAACATTTGTTCAAATTATTTCAAATTAATTTGTGTGAACAAAGATTTAAAGGTATTATAAAATGTTTGATAAAAACTTAGAAAATAGTTCATTCTTGAGTTCATTTGAATGATTACCACATTAAAAAATCTTATTTTTTTTTTACAGTCTTAATTTGACTTTGTATTTTAAAAAAGAATGGCTTGTTAAGGAAGAGGCCCGTTATCTTACTTCCAATTTGAACACTTTATATGGAACAGTACATCTTTTGCCAGCAGACAATTTGCTAATCAGTACTTGCTTATTAGGTTTTAAGAGGATTTGTTTCATAATGCAGCCTTTTGATTATCAGTAGAGTCTTGGAATATTATTTGTAAAAGCTAATATATTTAAATAGTAAGTTGTTAAGTACATTTTTTTTCATAATTGCATAGAAGGTGGCTAATTCTAATCTCAGATAAATGTATTGAGCCCGACTTTCCCTTATATCCTTTATCCACTCTGTCATATATTTTAGTTTCATTGTTTTTGCCTGGTATTTTTCTTCTAACATGCTTGCTTTTTCCACCTTCTGCAGTTGGTAGTTATTTTGTGTGAAACCAATGGCACATGTCCTGTGCTACACATTATACAAGAAGATCTTTAACATTTATTAGTCTTGCCTTGTTCTATCTTTGAGGAGCCTTGGTGGAGCAGTGGGTAAGCACTCTGCTGCTAACAGAAAGGTCAGCAGTTCAAACCCCCCAGCCACTCTGCAGGAGAAAGATGTGGCAATCTGCTTCCATAAAGATTACAGCCTTGGAAACCCTATGGGGCAGTTCTACTCTGTCCTATAGGGTTGCTGTGAGTCAGAGTCAGTTTGGCAGTAGTGAGTTTGAGGTTTTTTTGGTTTGTTCTCTCTTTCCCACTTTCTGAGTTCTTTAGAGCTTATGCTTGTATCTATACAGCTATAGTTGCTTGTATATGTTGTGTCACTTTTATTTATATATACATATTTAGGTCTTTTTTCCTCCCCTATTAGTTTATAATCTTTCATGTTTTCCAGCTTTCCTTTATTTGAGTATTGTGGTTGCATTTTTTAATAGGACAGATTTTTAAAATATTAACTCTGTTATTCAAGTACATAGAACTAAATTTTTTTAAGACGTGAAAAACCAAGTGCCATATAACCCTACTAATACAATACAATCAGCTCCAGTGATATTCAGAGGATTTGATGACTGACTTATCCAGAAAAGATACTGAGTATATGTCACATGGTCAGTTTCTACTTAGGACTTTTAAAACATTAAAATTTTAAAATAGTAATATCTAAATCAGTGTTTTTCAATACAAATTTCTATGATAATGGAAATGTTCTATGTCTGCACTGTCAAATGTTAGCCACTGGCCACATGTGGCTGTTGAGCACTTAAAAATTGGCTGGTGTGACTGAGGAACTGAAGTTTTCATTGTATTTAATTTTAACAATCTAAATCTAAATTTAAATAAATTTCCAAAAGATAAAAACTTTAACACTAACACAGAAAATAGATGGAATATATATACTGTATGCCATTAACTTTTGTATGTAGTAAAGGTTTTATAGTCTGATTTGATTAGAGAATAAAAAGAGTAAGAAATAGAGGGCCACCCCTTGTAACATATATTGTTTTAGTGGATTTAACTTTAATATGCATCAAATTATACCCTCAGAATACAAGTACAGACAATAAAAGTTGATTTAACTTTCCAAAAGTCTCTACCAGTACTTTTATGAAGAGCCTGAAGTCTGTGTGTATATATTCTATACTAGGCGGACCCTTAGGAGACTGTGGGGCAAGGGTGACACTATGTGGCCTTCTCTTGACAAACACATAAAATCGTATTCTGACCTACAATGAGGATAACCTTGACGGGGAAAGGTAAATCATGGAAAGGGTAGTTTGCCATCTTGGGAATTGGTATGGTAGGGAAAAGGGACTTCATCTTCTTGATAAATTATAGAGAGAAACATGTTATGGGTGTAATTGCACGTACTAGGTGTCTGGGAGTAAGAATGCCTGCTTGGAATTCCAGCACCACCACTTACTAGATACATGAAATTGGGCGAGCTCTTTAGTCTTACTGAATCTGTTTCCTCATCTATGAAATGTGGTTATAATTACTACTTTACAGCATCGTAAACAGGATAATAACTTACCACAGTACACATAGTGTTTTCAATACATTGTAACCATTACCATTGTTATACATTTGTGGCTTATAGAGTCAGTCTCATAACCGTGGTCAGGCATAGTATGTGAATTGGAAATCTCCTGATCTGCCACTCGGAGAAAACAGGATTAAGTCCTGCTCCCCCTACCACTGCCACCACCCACCCCACCACCACCCCCTGCCAAAGTCCGCTCGAACCACTGTGTGATGGAGTATTGCAGCCACAAGTTCTTACACAAACTTAGAGAATTTCTTCTGTTCCACCTCCACTTTCTGTGTAAATTGGCAAATGCACAGGTTGTTTTTCATCTCTTTGTGTTTTTTTTTTTCCTACTTTTTAAAAATAAACAATACATTAAACAAGAGCCTAAAGAAAATACTAATGTACAAAGTGATAAAATTGCCTTTTCTGTTGCTGCCATAAATCTACTTAGGTCTCAGTTTCATTCCTTTCATATTCATATTGAGTCTTAGACCATACATTCTTATCACCGTCTCTCATTGTTTGCTTCTTTATATCCCAAATCACAATTTTCTTGAGTCCTATATGTATCTTTTTCAGATTGTTAAACTAGCTATTTATGGTATGCTGCCAAAAAACCTTCACAGAAGAACTATGATGCAACGGTTGCATCTTTTTCCAGATGAGGTAAGTGTCATTCGTCATTGGTAATGATACTTGTCCTAAATGTTCAATTAAATACTTTCTTTTCTGTTTAAATAACTGCCATAGAGTTATTTTCAATTGTTTTAATAAATCAACTTCTGGAATGTATTTTGAATTTTAAAGTGAATGCACCATAGTAATAAGTATTCCTATTTTAAACTATAAAGTGAGCTATCACTAGGCTAAAACTCAGAAGTCTGCAAGTTCTACTTTTTATTTGATAACTGCTTTCTTTTGAACAAGGAACCATGATCAGATCCTCTGTTAAATTGAGAGTTCTCATTTCTAGTTTCATCAACTATGAAAAAAGTATGAATTATTAATTTACTTTTTATGTGACCAGTTGCATAACTTCTATGAATCATGGATTAATAACTTAGCTTTGGGTTGTTGATTATTTCCCATGATTTAATTTTAACTACAGAACACTTGCTCCTACTCCAAATTTATTCAGCTAAAAAAAACTTGAAAAAAATATACATTTTTATTGATTACTATTATACTCTTTTAAATGCTTATCTTTTCTCCTTAATAAAATATAATGAATCACCAGCAGCTCTGTAATAAAATGCTTGAGTCCACAATATGGGTTTGAATCCTTTCCCCACCATTAACTAGCTGTTTGGCCATGGGCTAGTTACTATTATCTGTTTCCTCATCTGTGAAATGGACATAATAATAGTACCTACTTTATAAGATTGTTATAGAGTTAAATGAGATAATATCTGTAGAATGCTTGAAACAGAATCTGGGACAATAAATGTTAGTTGTTGTAGTTACCAAAATTGGAGTCTGGACCAGTCTATAAAAAGGAGGAGGTTGATGAGTCAGAAGCCAGGGGTGTGTGTAGAGAATTAAAGTGGGACTAAAGACAGTGGTTTGCTAGGGAGTTAGAACTTTATCCTGAGAGGTTTTGAGCAGAGATTTTTTTTAAAAAATTGCAAACTTTTCGAGGCTATGATCTTTTTATTTACCATAACATACTTAGCAGTTAGCAAAATTTGTGGTTCATGGAAGGAGCTCCATAAATGTTTGTTGAATAAATGACTCAAAAATCTAACAGATTTTTATTTTTGAAAAATTTTTCTGGCAACAACATAAAATATAGATCATAAGGTAGTGACACTGGAAGCAACAGAACCAGTACATACACTCATCCAGGTGAAAAATCATGAGTGAACCAAGGCAGTGCCTTTTTAATACTGATGTACTAAAGAAGATATATACTCACCCCCCTTGGGTTGATTCCAATTTATAGCAACCCTCTAGGACAGAGTTTAACTGCCCCATAGCATTTCCAAGGCTGTAAATCTTATTGGAAGCAGACAACCACATCGTTCTCCCACAGAGCAGCTGGTGGGTTTGAACCACCGACCTTTCTGTTAGGTGAGTGCTTAACCAACCACCACGTCACCAGGTCTCCTTAAAGAAGATGTATAAGAAAGTAAAAAGCTAATTTTTTTTCTAATATAGGATATTCCAGAAGATATTCTTAAAAATTTAGTAGAAGAACTTCCTCAACCACGAAAAGTGCCCAGACGTCTAGATGAATACACACAAGAAGAAATAGAGGCTTTCCCAAGAGTGTGGTCTCCGTAAGTTTTTCGTTTTTCCTTCCTTACTTCCTTTTTTTTGTTTTTGTTTTAAGCTGAATTTGATATCCTCTGTTTCCTCAACCTTATACGGTCCTTGATGCAGTTTAACTCTTCTTGCCTTTGTTCTGCTATTGTTGCTGTGTGCATCAAGTCAATTCCTACTCATAGTGACCCTATATGACAGAGCAGAACTGTCCCATAGGGTTTCCTAGGCTGAAATCTTTACAGGAGCAGATTGCCAGTTCTTTTCTTCCACAGAACAGCTGGTGGGTTTGACGTTTCAGTTGGCAGCTGAGCAATTAACCAATGCACAACAAGGGCTTCTGTTCTGCTATTACTTCTGCCTCACCTCATCCTTTCCTCTAGGATAAGCCATACTCATTCTTTAGACATTAATTCATATGTCATCTCCTTTAAGAAGTCTTGCCTGAAGCCGGGGCCAAGATGGTGGAGTAGTCAGATGCTTCTGGTGGACCCTCTTACAACAAACACCTGAAAAAACAAGTGATTCGATTATATAGGGCAATCTGGGAGCCCTGAACATCAAAGGCAGAGTTGAGGAACCAGACTGAGTGGCAGGGGGAGGGAGAGACGGTTTGGAAGCAGCGAGGAGATGCCAGACCTGACCTGGTGAGAGCCTGAGCCCTTCAGGCCTGATCAGCTCAGGGGTGAAGCAGTAAGGCACGCAAGCTGCGGTGCTCAGGTGACACGTTTTCCACACCGGCAGAGACCCAGTGCCAGAGAGTCTACACGGCCACCCAGAACCAGTGAGAGGCAGCCCTCAACGAAAGATAGGTACTTGCGTACAGCCTACCACGTGGATCAAAATCACCTCCCTTAGGGAAAAACCTCTCTTCCATTTACCTCCCTGCTCCCAGCTCTGCACTGGGTCCCGGGCCGGCTTTAGCAATTGCCGAGTCCCCTGGGCCAGAAGTAGGATCTGTCACACGCCCAGAGCCATTCTCCTTGCCTTGGAGAATGAACAAACTAACAAACGGGAATAAATAAACTGCCAGCTCCTCTAAGCAGGAACCCAGGGTAGGCACCGCTCCTTTGCCTAGGCACAGGCATAAGGGATCCATGGACTTTGAGTGCCTTTCCCCCTGCATAGACTTGGGTGGGCCCATCTCAACAGCATAGGCCCTCATTACTGCAGTACAATAGGGTATATACTGGAATTCTAACTTCAACTGTTTCAGCTGTGAAGTGGCAGGTTCTTGATATTTGACACTGCTCTGCCCATTAAACAGGGTCTTCATCTGCCTACACCAGGGGCCAGACAACTGGTGGCTCCACCCATGCCACCTAGCTACCTGCGATAAGGGCCCATGAATACGAAGTGCCCCCTAGGTCTTACAGCCAGCAGCATTAGGTGCTCATAGTCCAGCTGTAAAACCCACCTACCTGTGCGCTCTAGGGAACAGGGACACGCCTTCCTCCTGGACACCTGGGGGTGGCCGTCAGCCCCCTGCCTTGCTCAGAGTGTGTCCCCCTGCTGCTGCAGCCAAATGGCTGTGCCTACCCCAATCACCCATTCCTGTCTAGGACTGTGAGAGCCTACACCACACACTTGGTGGCTATCTACCTGGGCACCTGAGCTGAATCCATACAGGGGGAGTGGGTGGACTCCTGAGCTCACATACCTAGTAACAGATCTAACCACCTGGTAACAGGACATTAGAGCTTCAAAGGTGCCAATCATCAAACTAGCTTATATGAGCAGCCTATTTGG